GCTCGACCAAGTCTTGCCTCATCCTGGTTCCTCTCTGGTCATTTCTTCAGGACACTGACATTGACATTTCCTGAGGCTTACCTGCCCATTTCTCTACTAGAATAATATGCCAGATTGACTCAATACATTTTATGTATCTTACTACTTAGTCCTTCCTTGCCCAAGGCATGGGCAGGGAAGCCAAGGTTTGTGCTGAGCCACAGAGGACACAGGATGGCTTTGCCTTTACCTAGCTGTCCTATCCCACACAGCACATACTTTCATAGATTACACTTTTTTATGTCAGTCGTGGGGCTTGAACTCTGGGCCTGGGTGCTATCCCCGAGCTCTTCAGCTCAAAGCTAGTGCTTTTATCACAGTACCACTTCTGGCTTTTTTCTCCTTATGTGGTGCTAAGGAATCAAACTCAGGGCCTCATGCATGCAAGGCAAGCACTCTACCACTGAGCCACCTTCCCAGCCCCTGTATTACACTCTTGAGAAGCTCCTACTCCATAGTTCCCAACTGTCTGCAGGTGAATGGGGTGGGCTGGCCCATTACCCCAGGGAGGGTTTCAGAGATGAACCCCAGGAAACCCTTGCATCTTCTTGGCAAGAACCAGGTTGTTGGAAGCTTGCCTCTGTTCGTGCTGCTCTTGCTCAGAGGGCCTTCTCCCGCCCAACACCCTGCAGTGCTGCATCCTGTGTGCTGCCAAGCCTGCATTGGGCCCATGTGCCAAGTAAACCCTTATTCCCTCTGGGCTCTGGTATGACCTCTCCCTCTGGTGAAGCCCTTATTTGTGTCCTTTCCCTTACTAGATCTGGAGCCACGCCCAACTCAAGCCTTGCAGGTTTTGACTAAGAGCACCAAGTCGTGGCCCTTCCGTTGGGCGCTGCAGAAGCTGCCTTTAGAAGATGAAAAGCCAAGACCTTGAGGTGAGAGTCAGGCCTCAAGGGCAGCTGAGTCCAATCCTGCAGCAGCAGCAGCAGCAGCAGCAGCAGCAGCAGCAGCATTGACTCAGCCTGGGCACCTCTCCTTCCTGCACAAAGACCTGCCTCATCCAGCCCTGTGTGCAAAGCCCTCTGCAGGCCTCCTCAGCCTGCTGGGGTGAATGAGGCAGAGTACAGGGGACACTCTTGCCAGCCTCCGCTGGGTGGGGGGCGGTGCTGTAGAGGAGAGGCACAGGCAAGAGGGCCACTGCCCTAGATCTAGGCTGTGCCTCCCTTGAGCCACAGCGCTTATAAATAAGAAGGCAGAGATGGAGCCCTGGTGACAGCTGGAGGAAATTATTCACACTGCCAGGGAGAGGCTTATACTCTGATTCACTTCCAATTCGTTATTTTTAAATCTCCCAGTTGGCTCAGAAGGAAAGATATGACAATCATTTACATCTTCTTCCAGACGGAGCCTTCACTCAGGGTTGAGGGAAATCGAATGGGGGCTGGGGTTGGGGATCACCCACCATGTGTGGGGCATTGGTGAAACCTTTGTCTTTGCTGGTCTCCTTTATGATGGGTGCTCAGACACTCAGGGCTGGCAACGTGGCGTCAGTGGCTGTGTCCTAAGAGGGGTGGTGATCTGGCCACTAGAGCACAACAGTTGTGCTTCTAACCAGAGAACATAGAGCTGCCCTTTGTGCAACCCAAAGGGGGCTTGCTCATGTGCCCCCTGGCTCCTGCCCCACTGCTTTCAGAATAGTGTAGGGGGATGGGAACAAAGGAGTTAAAGCAGGACTCCTGGCTGGAGCCGACATTTGGATTTGAATATTCTGCCTTTGAGCCTCGTTTCTGTCTGGAGGATCCCACCTTGCCAGAGAAGGCAGAACTCCCAGCAGTGGCCTCAGCTGATGGAGCACTCCTGCCTGACACCTTCCATTGGCAGCTTAGTAGCTAAGTGGCACCAGAAGGCTGCTGTGATGTTTTTTTCCTTGGCAAGTTAGTCCTGGATTTGAATTTACAAAGGTCTTTTAGAAAACACACTGCAGGGGCTGGGAAGGTAGCTCAGTGGTAGAGCGCTTGCCTTGCATGCATGAGGCCCTGGGTTTGATTCCTCAGCACCACATAAGCAAAAAGAAAAAAGCTGGAAGTGGTGCTGTGTCTCAAGTGGTAGAGTGCTAGCCTTGATGAACTGAAGAGCTGAGGGACAGGGCCCAGGTCCAGAGTTCAAGCCCCATGTCCGCCCCCCCCCCCCCCCCAAAAAAAGCAAACACACTGCAGAACCCTACTCATTCCTTGTGGATGCCCGTTGCATATGCAGCTGGGTCAACCCAAAGCTATGCCCTTTGTACAGCTTGGCACATCAGCAGCACCAGCCAGAAGTAGAAGGTTCTAGCAACCACAGGTAAGAAACAGGCCAAAGCTCTAGGATTTAGGATTGAGATGTGAGTGTGTGCACAGACTACCAAAAGGAATGAAGACTTCCCTCAGCAGGGTAGTGAAAGTCCTTCTTCACAGGTCTTGAGAAGTGAACAGGCTGCTGTCATGTGCCGTCACACCATTGCAAGTTTCTGCATGCCTCACAGTGCCTGGCCATAGTGCTTTCAGATGCATCCATTTGTCAGAAAAGAGTACACATTGAGCAAGCCCAGAGGTCAAATCACATGATTTAAGAGGCCACTGAATTCATTTCTTCTAGTCTTGCTAAGAAGGCATTTGGGACTAGACGTTATATAAGTTCCTAGAAAAATGGCAGTGTTCTGATGGAACATCAGATACAGAACATTAGACTGTAAAAATGTCTTATGGTCCAGTCTTCTCATCCCTGGGAGAAGTCTCTTGGTAACTCAAGGCCATGGCTTTTCCTAAGTGGCTTTCTCAGGGTGACAAGGGGACTGGGTGCTAAGATGGTGCTAGAGCTGCTGTGATTTCCACTTAGTCATAGCTAGCACTGGCCTGTCCAGAACAGAAGGCATTCTGGGTATGTGATGCGCTCACATCCAGAAAAGGCAGAGCTGCACACAGTGACTTCAGAAGTCACCTTGAAAGATACTGGTATTTAGGGAGGGAGACTTCTGTGCCCTTTGACAACAACAAAGCAGACATGACGAAAGCTCTTTGCCAGCCTTGTGAATGAGTCAACAGAACTGAGTCTACTGCAATTTAAATGAAGGAAGGCTAAGCCTCCTGTCATCTTGTCCAGAAATAAATGACATCAGCCAGCCTACAAATTGTTTCTCTTACCTTCTGATGTCTTATTTGAGATTTTTTCTTTACACAGGGAACATTTATATTCTTTCTACCCAGGTAGCTGAGGCCTGAATGTCCCCTTCCTTCTCCATGCCTGAGGAGAGTAGCAAACTCTGCATGTGACCTGACAACAGAGTTCTATGGAGTGAGAAGCCAGGCACTATTCCCCTCTTGGAAAACGTTGACCAACGTTGGCCAACTGCCTTCCACCAGACGCAGGTTAGTTCACTCACCCTAAGTGCTGAACCAGTATGTAGTCTTTCTCTTTGTGCAGATGAGCAAGCTGAAGCACCCAGAGGTCATCGTACCAAAGCAGTGCCAGTGTTGGTGCCAAGATATGGAACTCATGTCAGTGACAGGTGGGGAGAGCAGTGGAGGCACAGGCAGAGCCTTTGCAACTGAAGACACGGTAAGAAATGCTGTTTCTGCCTCCACAGATGTGTCCTCTCAGCAGAATATCCCTACCCCTTCCTCCTAAAAGAGCGAATGGTTATCCTTCTCTAGGGGGAAGTTAGGAAAACAGCCCCCATCACATGGCTCCTGCGGCAGGGGGGCAGCCAGCCCCGACCTGACTGAGGGCACAGGAGCCACCAGGCCCACTTCCAAGACTCCCTCCCAGGGGATGACGCTGTTAGGAATGTCACCATCTCCCTCCAGCATCAGCTCTTCTACACAGCATGGCCTCGGTTGTTCGCTAAAGGGATCAGTGCTAAAAGCCTCTTCTCTTTCTTGGAAGCTGGCAGCTTGATGCCTGTCTTCTTTCTGGGCTCATTTGAGTGCGTGTCAAAGAATGACTGGGAAGTTTGGATGAATCGCTCATTTCAGCTCCTCTCACTGTCAGCATCTCACTGGGTGAGCCCAAACACAGCAGCTGTGGCTTCTCTCGTCATCAACAGGCAGGAAATGTTCTGAGTTAGCACTGGGCTTGGTTTGGAGTGCTCTAACCACTCTGCAACTTCTCCCAAGCACCAACACTTTAGGGACTTGTACCTTTCTTAACCACCTGCGTTTCTGTGATCCACTAGGGAATCTGTGGATTCAACTAGATGATTCCCTGAATGTCTTAAGGACAGTTCAAAAGAAGACCTCAGAACAACAGTAGGAAACATGGCAGGCTATGACCCATGGGGCTCAGGAACGTGACAGCAAACACAGGGTCAGTTGTGTTGCACCCACGGCTGCTACCGCCTGACTGCATTTTTCATCCTTTCCCATATTTTGCAGGGAGGAAAGGGGCAGGTCCAGGCTGGTGCCTGGGGAAGGTGTGAGCCAGGCCTGTGGCTGTGGAGACACCTGCTCACAGTCTCTGGGATCTGTCCCAAGTACAATGAATTCTAAGTCCATTCTGGCTAAAACTAAGACACTGTGGGTTTTGTAAATGCATTTGTATTCTGTACTAAAGCTAAGAGACTGTGGGTTTTGTGAATACATTTCTATTCTGTACCTCAGGAATGAGATTTTTGTGCTTTGTAAGAAATGGAAGGAAAGACAATGGAGTCCCACATGAGTGACGCCTGCTGGCCCAGACCAGCCTGTCCTCGACACAACTCCAAAATATCTGGTTTAGTTTGAAGCGAGGCTGCCAGAGGATCAGAAATGTAAGATGCCTTGCCTCTCCCGGCCCCGAGAAAAACGGTCAGTACAGCATCTCGACTCTTTGACACAAGGTACAGCCAGGGCCTCAACGTAGGTCTAGCATCATCATCTTTCTCTTCCCAATCTCCCCACTGACTTAAAGGAACAAAGGCACTGACTGACTACTTCATTTCCACACCAAAGGCAGAATTCCTGCAAATGTAACCTATCACTCCCAACCAGACAGATACAGCATTTGGCCACCAGGTCAAAGTTTATTATTTATTTATAGAAAGTGTTTCTCCTGTTGTTCCTTCCCTGCCACGTGAGGAAAATACCTGGAGAGAAACTCCATTCATCAAGGCACTCACAAAAGCCCCAGACTTCTCTATGATCAGTGCCTGAGCATGCTCTGTAAAATGGGTTCAATTTCCCAGGCTCGTTCTGTTTTTGAGAGGGAAGCATTGTTTTTGTAGGAGCACACCACTAATTTCCATGACATCTACTGACTCTTCTGAGTCATCTCCTGACTCACCAAGTGATGCTGCCCCAGAGCATGGAGCTGGAGAGGGGCCTCAGGGGACTTCCCTTCTTCTCCAAAGCCACAGTTTACCTGCCTAAGAGAAGTCAGATCCTCAACTTCCCTAGATTCTGGAAGAGTGGATTGGAGAAGCCCTTGTACTTCCTGGACATCCAAGATATAATCCTGCAACACCAGGAGTCCAAGTTAACTATGAGCAATTGTATCCATCTGCCAACAGACAATTACCATCCAAGGAGGCAGTCATTCTAACACCAATAAAATGAGAGGCTAAGGAAGAAAGCATCACACAAAATAGCCAAGACTCCACAGGAAACAATTGCTCTTTCTGGTATAAACAGTTTGTTCCCAAGACAAACAGCACCTATTAAATGTGCCCTCATCCAGGTCAGCTTGCCCCGCTACTGCCACTGGAAAATATCCAGAGTCAAGATGTGTCACTAGCTCATCCAACCTATTTCTGAAACTCAAAGAGCCAATTTGAGTGAGCTTCTCAGTTCACATAGGGAGAGCTATTTCCAATTCCAAACACTGGGACAAATATCCCTGAGAAATGAACCTAGACATTGATCTCAGGGTGCTGCTTGTGGAAGGGAGGGGATTGGCCAGCCATGTTTGGGCATGAATATACATTGGATTCAAGTTGAGTGCTCCCATATCCTTGCGTGTATTTGTGGTGAAACATGCGATGACACACGGGACCTGGTGGGGAAGGGAGCTCCCAATGAGGCTAGCAGGATAGTTCCAGAGTGAGAGGGTGGACCATTTAGCAGCATGGCTCTATTGTATCTGGCAGCCTGAGTTGGGCAGGAATTCCTGCAAATGAGAAGCCACTGCTTTGGTCAGGTAACTCATTGTCCCATAAGCTCCACTTGGAGCACTGTCATAAAAGAAATGACAAATTCCTGTGGCTTCGTCTTTCTCCAGAGTATCGGTAGCTCCAATGGATACCTGTAGCCAGAAAGGCAGAGGAGAAATGAGCAGAGGCAACCCTTCGACCACAGGTGATTGTGCAAGCTGGAGATGGTGAGCTCAAATGGGTGAGGGGTGGGCCAGGTCCTACAGCAGGAAACCAGCGCCCCCTAGGGGAGAGGTTGCTTTTGTTCTGGACACTGTTCTCACAGATTCTAGTCTGAAACTGAGGACTGAAAGCTTAAGGATAGTTTCTTTGCCTTACTTGATTTGGGGTACAGGGTAAGCACTTTTCACGTAGGGCCATGTATGTAGCCAGTGCCATGTTTGGGCTGAAAGCTACATTGACAAGTATACCCCCACAGGTTATCTGATCTTCCAAGGGGCTACAATGCCATTTCCTAACCAAGTTTTTGACATTTTCTACCTTCTTTCTACCTTCATATTTTCTTTGTTTGAGCGTATTGTTCTCTACTTTGTGGGACACAATATCTAACCTCAACAGAGGTGAATGTCAGCTATGCTGGCTACCTTGACACAGCTGTGTCAGGTGGGTAGCTGGCCTAGACACACCCACCTGGTCCTGCAGGAACAGCTGATTGGCCAGATGCACAATCTGGTCCACGTGGATAATGCCTCCAATGCTGTCGATCTCGGTGTCAGAGAGTAGAGTTAGTACCATGATAGCTTCCACCAGCAGTTGCCGATACTCAGGCTGGGACACATGGTTCAGCACTGATTCCACGTGGACAGCAAACTTGATCTCATGTGGGGTCATCTGCAAAGGGGCCAGAGGGAAGCCACTACTGAGAGCTGGGACAAAAAGGGCCCTAAAACCAATTGTGTCCCAACACTGGTAGGACTCTGCTCAAAACCTCCCTTCCTACTGTCTACTGTGTCAATTCTGCAGTAGGAACCCACTAAAGCAGGAGGTTGATCACTCTTTTCTGGAAATCAGTTGGCCTTGACTATTTTGAGTCATTTATTTGTTTATTTAATTTATTGCTTGCCTGCCAGTCCTGGGGCTTGAACTCAGGGCCTGGGCACTGTCTCTGAGCTTCTTTTGCTCAAGGCTAGCACTCTGCCACTTGAACCACAGCACCATTTCAGGCCTTTTCTGTTTATGTGGTACTGAGGAATAGAACCCAAGGCTTCATTCGTGCTAGGCAAGCATTCTAACACTAAGCCACATCCCAGCCCTCTTTCTTTCTTTTAAAAAGAAGAAAAGAAAGCCCCATGTGGCATAAAGCATGGTGCTTTGAGCAGGGTAAAAAAAAAGCCAGAGGAAATATGTTCTGTGGCTGGAAGATAATGGGTCTAGCCAGAGTGAGCTGAAGCTTGGGCAATTTGAAGTGGCTTGGGGCAAATCGAAAGAACTTGGGAGTCCAGATACACTGTAAGGGAAATGAGAAGAAGAAAAAGTGATGGGAAATAAACAGGCACAGTGAGGGAGAGTTGGCTAAAAAGCCCAGCCCTTCAAATGGACTGTCCATACAGAACAAGCTGAGGAGGCCATGAGTGGTCAGAGTCCACAGAGTGAACACAGATGTGCTGGCATTCGGGGTTTGCTCATCCTACCTCTCGGGTGGTGGAGGACGGCAGGACATAGCCGTCGATGGAGAGGCCGTGGCACTAGAGGTAGAAGACACAAGTCAGTCAGGAGTCTGTTCCCACACATGCTCACACGCACTCATGAGCAGGCGCACACAGCTTTCCCTGCCCCACAGTCTGCACGAGGGTTGGAATACGCCAGACTGCCAGAGTTATCTTTAGAGCAGTGTTCCCACTGCCCACGGGCTTGTGTTTTGCATGGAAGAATTCTAGGGCAGGCATCTTTCAGATCATGGGAGAGCAATGCCCTTGGGTGCTGCCTGCTATGTCCTGCTCCCTGGAGATTCTGCCTTGACTTGGCATCTGGGCTCCGGTACCTGCCAGGCCCCCTTCAGTGCCATGATGGACGATTTTGTGCTCCTGCTGGTGAAGTGATGCGTCTGTGCTTGTGCAGGCGGCTATTTTCGAGATTCTATAATAAGCTCCAATCACAAAGGACTGGAGCACATGCACAGACAAGCTCACCCGTGTGTATAAATACCAAGTGGGCTCCATACAACATGCTGCTTTCTCATCATACAAGTGTCTTGGTTCGTGTCAGTGGGAGTCTGAACGGAAGTGTGTGCTACCCCAGGAAGAGCGGGGAGATTTTCTAGGAATAGCTAGGCCTAGTGTAATTGGCCAATTTTCACCTCCCCACGCCCCAGCTGGAAGCAACTGTGCTGCCTTCCCCCATTCCAGGCTCCTGAATAAATAGGGAGAGTGGTGGACCATGGACCTCTATAGGCTCTAAGGGTTCCAGGCAAAGGCACCAGTGGGTAACAGAACCCGGCTGCTCACGCACAGGGCCCACTCTATCCGCCGGCTCAGCTCAGTGAACACCCTGAGGAAGCCCTCGGGTGCTGACAGACACAGTCCAAAGCCCTTGCTACAGGCAAGGGGCAATTAAACAGAAAAAAACACAGATGGAGTCCTGTTGCTGCATAGAAGAGCTGGAGTACATTTTCCCTTGGGATGATTTCTGTTCTCATCTCCCCCTGGGAGAGGAGTGCGACAAAGATTTAGGGGAAAAAAATCTATCTTGTTTTGCAAAGATACTTTTAAGTGGAGTTAATTTTGTTCCATGGTAGAGGTAGGACAATCTCAGTGGGGCTCAAAGAGCTGCAGGAACACCCTGGAGCGAACTGTGAGAGGAGACAGATTGCGGGGTACAGATGACAGAGGATTCTGTTTTCCCACAGAACAATCACCTTGGCAACAGTTGTCAGCCATGTTCTCCTGAACTCAGAGGTGTGCATCTCGGTCTATGTCTGTTGCCTGGTAGTGCTGCTATGCATCACAGGTAGGCTGGGGTGGGTCGAGGGGGGGGGGGGGTAGGGGTCGGACTCCTTTCCCTGGCCACATGGCTTCCCAAGTACCATAGAAGCACAGCACCCAGCGTACCTTCTGCAGGATCTTCCACACCTTCTGGTAGAATCCCACCGGGACCCTGTTGATGGCGCCATCCAGCCTTCTCCTGCGCAGCCACTGGCCCTGCTGCTCCACCCAGTTGATGTGATGTCCTCCGGAGTCTGATGACGATGTGCCTGTGGGTGAGGATGGGGAGCTGGACCTCTGCAAGACAGACCACATGGCCCCTCAGAAGCCTTGTGGGCTACCCAGCAAATAGCCTTTGGGAACTCCTGCAAGCATGCAGACTGATCAGCTGCCCCTTACCCAGCAGGAATCTGCCTCCTCCATTCCACATTGTGTGCCACCTGCTGGATTCCATGCTCTGGTGTGGTTCCTTAACTCCTCCCACACCCCTGGAAGCCCACCCACAATGTAGGACTGCCCTCTGGACACTGAGCTCAGAGGGCTCAGACCCGGCAGGGACAGGTGCGGCCTCTGAGGTCAGACCATTGTGCTGCAACTCCCCATTCAACATCACTATGACAGTACCCCACCCTGAGGCGGCTGGGCTCACATTAGCACCAACTGCTGCCCACCTACCTGTACCTGATGGGGACCCAGCCAACCTTCCCCCAGGAAGTTCTGTGTGGGCATTCACCTGGTGAAGGGGCTCAGAAACTGCTGAGAGCATGCTGGCTTGCGTTGAGTGCTCATGGGGGCAGCTGTCACCCTGAGGGCTGCTCCTCCCAGGACCCTGGCCTAGCACTTTGTGTATTCATTTCAAGTGAGGCAAGTAGCCTGCAGGAGAGCTTCGAGAGATATGCCAGCCTCAGAGCAGGTGAGCCTCGGGCTCACAGCCTGGGGAAGTGGACACAGAGTGTCCGCTGTTTACTCTGGCAGTTCCATAAAGCAGTGAGTGACATGACCCTTCTTGTAGGATGAGTGCAACAGAGAATGCCACATATAATACTGGAGGGAATGACCAGGAAAGATAGAGAGGGAAAAAAATCAAGCCAAAGAATCTGCTTATTGGTGCAATCTTGAGATTTCTGGCCTTTCCACCAATGTTTTCCAGTTTCATTTTCGCTTCCTGTTTTGGGCCCAGGGCTTCATCCTCACATTGGGCCCCGTGCTTGGTGACTCCTCTGGGACAGCCTCTGCTGCTGGGAGAGAAAGGGACCATCTTCCCACCTCCCTGCCTGAGGCTGGACTCCTTTGGCCTCCACCAGGGAAGCACAGCTGCAGGCTGCCCATGACCTAGAGGCAGCGCAGAGATCCAAGCCAAGCATGGAGACCAGGCCTCAAGTGCTCACTGGAGCCAAGCTCTTGCCCGGGTCAATACTTGCCCTTTGGCCTCCATGTCAGAAGTAACCGACATCATTGAGTTCTTTGTTCTCAAATATTAGGTACTTCACAATGTGTAACACCAAATTTAAAGGCTTTTAAGAAAGAATATCCCAATATAAAGTACACTAATCTGGTAGGGGGCAAGACTCCTGTGTGTATTCATTTTGACTTGAATACATCTTATTTTGAAAAGGCAGTTAGGCTGCGCTATTCAGCTGGGCTTGTTAGTACCATTTAAATAAAGCAATAATTAGCTACAAATAAAAGTAATTACAGTTACACTCATCAGTGACTAAGCTGATTTTTTTTCCTTCTGGTTTAGAGCAGCAGATTCTAACTTTGGCAATTAGAACATTTCCTAGGCCTCCACTTGAGCCAAGGCCCCATGTAGAGCCGGGACTGAGGATGTAGCTTAATACCAGAGCACTTATCTAGCATGTTTCAGGCCCTGGGTGCCATCCCTAGCCCCTCAAAAAGTAAATGAAAAGAGCCAGGTGCTGGTGGCTCATGCCTGTGATTCTAGCTACTCAGGAGGCTGAGATCTCAGTCTGGGCAAGAAAACCCATGAGACTCTTGTGCAATCGCCAGAAGTGGAGCTCTGGCTCCTAGTGGTAGAGTGTTAGCCTTGAACACAAAAAAGCTCAGGGACAGCAGCCAGGCCCTGGGTTTGAGCCCTAGGATAGGCACAAAAGAGTGAAAAGAAACAATGCTGTGCTGGGAGGCTCCAGAAACTCTGTGTCTTGGTGAGGAGATCATTCTTCACCCACACTGTGCTGAGGAGCACAGAGATCTGAGGGTTAAGATGAAAACCAAAGCTCAGTTCAAGTACATCTTGGCTTTTCTAGAATGTTCTCAAAATTACAGGAGGTTTTCAACATTAACTGAAAACCCTTAAACCTTGCAGAAATCTTCAGAAGTCAGGATGTGGCTGGAGTACAGCTCACTCTTAGGGGCTTGCTTAGTGTGTCCAAGGCCCTGGGTTCTGTTACTACCAATACCAAGTCGGGGATGAGGGGGGAGCATGAATGTGGCTACTAGAGGGTTCAGACAGCACAAACATGGAGGCGGGGGCAGGGAAGCACGCAATGCCCATGCACGTTTACCGCAGACTTGGAGGAATGCACGCTGCTCGACACAGTCTGGCCCACAGAAAAGAACTACAAAACAAAAAGAATCAACTCAGTCATGGGCAGTGACACCAGAGACACCAGGAGTGAGGGGAACACCTAAGAGCATAAAACATGCCCCAGAAGTTAGCTGGAGAGGTTGTTCTCACCTTCAGCATGGGCGGACCCTCTGTGTCCCACAATGGACTGAGGCAGGGTACTAAGCCAACTCTATGGAGCCAGCACTCCATGGTCTGCCTGCCTGCCTGCCTGCCTGCCTGCCTGCCTGCCTTCCTTCCTTCCTCCCTCCCTCCCTTCCTCCCTCCCTTCCTTTCGTTTCTTTTGTCCGTTGGCCATGGGGCTTAAACTTAGAGCCTGGGCATTGTCCCTAAGCATTTTTTGCTCAAGGCTGGCACTCTACCACTTTGAGCCACAGCACCACTTTTGGTTTTCTGGTGGTTTATTGGAGGTAAGAGTCTCATGGACTTTCTAGCCTGGGCTGGCTTTGAACTACAATCCTCAGATATCAGCTTATCAGCTTCCTGAGTAGCTCAAATTACAGTTGTGAGCCACCAGCACCTGGTCTCATGGTCTTTTTTTTTTTTCCTTGGGGCTTGAACTCTGGGCTTGGGCGCTGTCCCTGCGCTCTTTAGCTCAAGGCCAGCACTCTACTGCTTGAGCCACAGCACTACTTCTGGTTTTCTGGTGGTTTATTGGAGAAAGGAGTCTCAAAGACTTTCTTGCCCAGTCTGGTTTTGAACCGTGATTCTAAGATCTCAGCCTCCTGAGTAGCTAGGATTACAGGCTTGAGCCAAGGGTGCCCGGCACAATGGTCTTTCTTTAAATAGCAAATAGTACCAGGTTTGGTTTCTTTGCGGAGAATGCCTAAGAAAGCTAGGACACATTTTCCAAAGTCACAGCTAAGAAATGTTCATGTTTTATGGTGAGTTGTAAAAATATACAGAGATCCACAAAACACCCATAACTGCCACTAACACCTGCATCCATTTCCCAAATTTGTGAAATACACACACTATTGATCTCATGGTGACACAAGAATTTCCTCATCTAAAAATCTAGATTGTACCCCCAGCTTGCATGGGGGTAGTCTGTATACATGCTGTTCTTGCAAAAGTGAGTAGCCACTTAAAATGGCATGGTATCTATTACATTTTAAACAGTTCTGGAACGAGCCCATGTTTTACTGTGTGCATATCTCTACAGAGAGGAAAATGGCAATTGAAATACTACCTGAAAATCAGAAATGGCTCTGCCTGTGTTACACTACTCTACCTTTCCAAAGTAACAGTATTTCCCTAGTGTGAAATTTTAATGGCATTTGAACAATTCCCAAATTTTTTTCTGTACTATTTGCAAATGTTTAAAACAAGTATATTTTGCATGGTTGGGCATTGAATAATGACTCAGATTTGACCTGTAAAACCATGAATAGTTTCTTTGGGACTCAACAATTTTGAGTGCGTGTTTATAAAAATAGTTTCTATGTTTTTTTTTTCTTCTCTATTCTATGAGTTGATATGTTTCTTTATTAAACCTAGCTGGAGTTTATTAAATCTTGTAAATTTTTTCAAGCAGAGAATAGTATTTTGGTATTAAATATGCAAATATAAAGTGGTACTGGCTACTGGGATCCAAACCCATCCAAGAAGAAAGGTTATTTCAACCCTGTAAAGTACAGACAGCATTAAATGGAGGAAGAAGGAACCATCCATTGCCATCCACAATAAGGCCAGTAGGTGTGGGTAACCAGAACAACAGTGCCACCCAGTGGTAGGAAAGAAAAGAGTTTTTAAAGTCGGCTACTTATTTGGAAGGAGCACAAACGTGTGTGTGTGTGTGTGTGTGTGTGTGTGTGTGTGTGTGTGTGTGTGTGTGTGTTTTATAGGCAGAGCTTCAATGCCTTGTGTTCTTGCTTGGATTTTTTTTTTTTATTTAAGGTTAGTGCTCTGTCACCGGAGGTACTTCACTTTTATTTTTCTTCTGGTTAATTGTAGATAAGAGTTTCTTGGACTTATCTGCCTGACCTGGCTTTGAACCATGGTCTTCTGATCTGAGACTCCCGAGTAGCTGGTATTACAGACGTGAATCATCAGCACCCAGGTTAGAAAGAGCATAAATTAGAGTAAGAGCTCAAGTGTGTTGCACTCTTGGACAAAAATGTACAGTCTGCATTTGCATGTCATTATGCTTACATTGTGCTGGTTGGTCATAGAGACATCAAATAATTACAAATATGACCCCAGAGCCAGGGACAGTCAGGGCTGTGTGCAGGAGGCAGAGGCAGATGAAAAAGTGATATGTTTTTCCCACTGGGTTTAAATACCGCCCCGCCCTCCGCCATGTGATCTAAGGATAGGGTAAATAGAGTAGCCTTACTCTCCTGATATGATCATTTTGCTCTATTTAGCCTCTCCTCTTTTAATAGGAATGCTCAGCGAGTTACAGCTTGGACCATGTCCTTTACAAGATATCCTTCAAAGCCCAAGAAATTGATACATGGATTTTTTTTAAGGTACAGGGTAAGGTCATTTTTCTTCTGCCTATAACCCTGTTCTCTTTCTGTCCCTGGGATTGGCCAGTCTGAACCACTGTTGTGGACAGAGCCACTCTTTCTTGTCCCTGTGTCTACACTCTATATGGACAGCCTCATTCTCCACATTCAGGCCAGAAAGCACATATAGCACACAGACAAGGTTAAATAAGGCAAGATATCTCACCTGTTCATCAGCACTCACTCTCCTGGTCATCTGAAAATTAAAACATCAGGAAATAAAAACCAGGTCCAAGTCAAGAATGCCCTGACTCTCCCATCACCCTCCAATAATCCAGCGCAGTGCTGGTCTCACCTCAAGGGGTAACCATTAGTCTCAGACTTGAGCCAGTGGATTATGACTACCATGTGACTTGCATTTTTCACTGCCCGTCACCATCAGGAGGAAACTATTTCCTACTGTGGGTCATGGTCAAATCCTAGCACAAACCTGGCACATTAGGACTGAAAAGAGGTCCAGTTGCAGTCCTGTGTGGGATCATTTTTATTTGAATTCAACAAAGCTGAAGGAAAGAGCCATCTAGGGGAGGCGGAGAATACAGGTGTCACAAGCATTCCAAACCCTATTTCCAAACCCTTCTTGCTATCACAGTTAAAGGGCACGTTTGATGGGGACGGGTGGTTGGTTTTTGCAGAGCTCTATTTTTTAAACGCAGAAGCAAACACAGATGAGAGCCTATCCAGAATATACAAGTAACATTAAATGAAGGGTTAGGGTTAAGGGCAGGTATGTGTGTGTCTGTATGTGTGTGTGGGGGGGGGTGTAACCTTGAGTGGCTCTGGGGTCCCTATGTGGGGACAGCTGGGTTCAGATTTCAGACAGAGGAGACCTTACATTTTGTACAAAGAGTAGGCTGAAGCATCAGGCTCTGGGTTTCTGTTGGTTTCTGATACCAGAGAGGGGAACTGTTCCCTACTTACTGCCGCCACTGCCCAGGTGTTCTTACCTGTTTCATGTCACTCCTCAATCTGGTAATGCCACTCCTCTCAGTTTTGGTGACTCCAGTATGGTCCACCTCATGGATGGAGATGGCGGGGCTGGATGCAGAGGAGTGGATGGGGCGCACTGTAGGAGAAACACACACACACACACACACACACACACACACACACACACACACACACACACACACACAAACACATACACATGGTTCTTCGACTGTACAGCACCCACCCAAGTGAGGAAATTCAGGCAACTAGGGTCTACACCTGTCTCCCTTGCTTTATTATAAACGGAATCAGAGGTTAGCTTTGCCCTCAGGTTTAATGTGTCATACTTGAAGGGCTGTGCAGAAGTTAATGCCAGCCCTGGGGCAGGGCCTCATCCTCTCCCTTATCTTTTGCTTTAATGCTGGTGATCTACTGCTTGAGCCACACTTTCACTTTTGACATTTTACTGGTTAACTGGAGAGAAGTGTCTCTTGGATTTGCTTGCCTGGACTGTATTCAAACCAGATCCACAAATCTCAGCCTCTTGAGTAGCTAGGATTACAGGCATTAGCCACTAGGGCCCAATTTGAAAACTGTGTTTTTACTTATCCCAAAACATATCTTCCCTGGAGGAGAGGGGAAACAGACTTCCTAAGGAAACAAGGACTCAAGTCAGTTGACAATTTAGTTATTCTGCTACCCCCCCCCCCACTATTGCGGTGTAAATTTTTTCCTTATAAAACAGAATCATCACATTCATATGCACAGATATATGATCTATAGAGTATCATATACCTATATGTACACAGCAAGCTGCCTTATTTGAGGACTTAATTCTCAAAGTTTTGATCATGTATGGTCAAAAAAATAAATGAAAAAGAATCAGAAGCAATTTCTAAAACAAAAAATTTGAAATTCTCATCTGCTTAGTTGTTATAGAGGAACTCCCAGTCAGTCCCGTGCTGTCAGTTGTGTTTAAATAGTTGTAATCTGCTGCATGTCTCTTTGTCTTTAAGTTGTGAAAAATATGTCCCCCAAAAGCAATCATGCCCCCCTCCAAATCAAGGTAGATCATGGCGATCTTCCCAAGCCACAAAGAGAACATACGGTGCTTAAGTGATAAAGGACAAATCTGTTCAAAGGCAGCATGTCTTTAGGGAATATTGGGTGATACTTTGGGAAAATAAATCAAGTATCTTTGAGATCAAGAGCATGAAAAAGATCTAGTTTTGGGGGGGGACAATATTCATGTGAACAATAGCCATGTTCTTTCACATTGCAGTACAGGCAAATTTGAGTAATTCATTTTTTGTAGGGAGTGCTGGTTTGGGGCTTGAACTCAGGGCTTGAGTGTTGCCCCTGAGCTTCTTTTGCTCAAGGATAGTACTCTTCTACTTGAGCGATGGTACCACTGCTGGCTTTTTCTGAGTAGTTTATTGGAGATAAGAGTCTCACAGACTTTTCTGCCTGGGCTGGCTTTGAACTACGATCTTCAGCTCTCAGCCTCCTGAGTAGCTAGGATTATAGGCATGAGCCATGGGCACCCAGCAAATTTGAATAATTCTAGAATATTGCACTCAATGGCTCTTTATGGTTTTCCTTCAGTGGAGGCCTCCATAGAAATACATTCGCATGGATACCAAAGGTCTACTGTAATCCATTTTCTACTTATGCTTATTGTGTCACTAAATGTTCTACCACATGACAGTTTATGATCACGTGACATGTGATCTCATGGGTAGTCTATAATGTACCTAGTCTCATCTGTACCTTTCTTTTTCTTTTTACTATATCAGAGGAAACGGAACAAGGGGGTCATAGATTTTCTTACTGCCCCATGGGCAATGACATGGGGGCCTAGTTGAGAAGACTTTTACCAACACCAAAGGCTGTCCTCTCATCCTGACACTCAAGTGACCCGAGCACTTGTTCACTGAGGTATTATGGCCATGAGAGCTACAAGGCACACAGGTGTGTGAGATAACGCACCCTGGCAAACCTACAGGGATGTCCTCCATCCCATAAAAGCCTCTGGGACTGGGGATAAAGCCCAAGCTCCGTTCATTCCATTGAAATCATGTGGCCCATATGCTTGGTCTGGTAGTACTGATGCCTATTTGTCCTTCTAGGAGGCCATTCCCCCTGAGGCTGCTGGAACATCGACTCACCGCTTCTTTCTACCCCGAACTCTTTTCCACTCAGAATATGATGCAGGAGATTCTTCATGTCAAAGGGGCTGAGGTTCATCAAACTCTCGGAAGCTTCTTCTCCTACAAACAAACATCTTGTAATCATCCCAGCCTTGGGGCTGGTGGTGGGTGAAGGCAGAATTGAGTAGACCTGAATGTGTATGTGAGGGGGGGGGGGGGCGGGGGAGGTGGCAAAGGACACAGTGGCAGGTGTCGTTGCTCATGATTCATTAGACGGTGATACAAGCTGAAAGGCACTGGTGCTTAGGGACTCGGAATATTGCTAAGTCAGTACATAAGGTGTTTCTAGACACCTGGTGTTGGTATACGTCTTGCAATTGGTGTCTGTATTGCAATTAGTAGCACTTCTCCCCGTGAAGGAATGACAAAATGCTGGGCGATAGTTCATAGTAAGAACTTCAGTGAGAAACCTAGGTGTCAGGCTGAGCAAAGTTTCTCAATTGTTCCTTTTCCTCTCCTACTCAGGAAGGTCAGCATGCTGTGATGAACAGCCTGCCAGGAGCCATGTCTAATGAGGGAACCTCAAGAAACCCAAGCGCACTTAGAGGAAGGCAGCCCAGGAGTCCTCGAGCCAGGTTTCCTCTCAGAGCATGGCTGGAGCTTGGCAGGGAGCCAGGTTTCCTCTCAGAGCATGGCTGGAGCTTGGCAGGCACGAGCTGTGGGAGCCATGGCTTCTTACCTGAGCAGTTCAGGCTCCTCGCCAGCTCGGTGGCCATCACTTGAATGATCAGTCCAATCCGGAGCCTGAGCATCTCCACAAAGAGGCTGGGCTGAGCCCGAACATACATGGCCAGGTAAACCACAATCTCCTGAAGGAGAGAGAGAGGGAGAGAGAAAAACCAGGGCTTCAGAGACCTAATTGGGTGGCAAAGGAAGGCTGTGGCCCAGCTTCCCATCTCCTGGGCTGTAGCCTGACCTGTGTGAGGACAGCGATACTGATGTCCTGCCCACTGGCTTCGTAGATGAGTTTGGTGAGTTCCTCTGGGGGCAGAGGCCTAGGAAAGAGTAGTAAGTCACAAACACCACAAGTGTTTCCGAACCAGGGGCTCCTTGTCCTCCATAGGAGATCCCTCTATGTGCTATGCTGGAAGAACCTGTGTGACACAGTCTTCAAAGAGCCCCTCCTTCTGAACAGTGCAGGGCACTGATGTTTTCCTACTGATCCCACTCCCGAAATTCCTGGCCAGAGACTTACGCAGAGATGGTCTTCTCACGGGGCTCAGGTGGCAGGCCCACTGTGAGCTGCTTCTGGTGGGACAGCAGGTCTGCACAGGCCTGCTCATTCAACAGAGATGGGGTGAGGGGTGAGAAAAAGAAGAGAGAGGGCATGCCATTAGACAAAGCCAGCTTGGGAGGAAGATTAGAAGTGTATCTGTACAAATTTTATAAATCCTCTTTTCTGTATTTGAAAAATATTGAGCAATCTAGGAAACCCTGTAGTCTTTTTTTTAAATATATTTTTTTCTGGACACTGGTGTCTCACATCTGTAATCCTAGCTACTCGTGGTTCAAAGCCAGGCCAGGCAGGAAAGTTTGTGAGATTCTTATTGCCAATAAATTACAAAGAGCAGCTGGAAGTGGATCTGTGGCTCAAGTGGTAGAGTACTAACTCTGAGGAAAAAAGCTGAGGATCTGCCCAGGTCCTGAGTTCAAGCCCTAGGACCAGCAAAAAAATTTATTTCTAAAGTAGTTTCACAAAAGAATTGCCATTCAACACAGCAGTTTATGAATACAGTGCATCTTTTTTTTTTTTTTGATCAGTCATTGGGCATGAACTCTGGGCCTGGGCGCTGTCCCTCAGCTCTTCAGCTCAAGGCTAGCACTCTACCACTTGAGCCACAGCACCACTTCTGGCTTTTTCTGTTTATGTGGTGCTGAGGAATCGAACCCAGGGCCTCAGGCATGCAAGGCAAGCACTCTACCACTGAGCCACCTTCCCAGCCCCTACAGTGGATCTTCATCATTGTGACTCCATTTAACATTCTCACACACCCCTTCCCTCATTTTTCTTCATTTCAAGGCTATAGGTTGATTTTTTTGCCATTTAACTAAGCAATTTATACATCTTGATCAATGTCATTGCTTGAACATCTTCACTCCCTTCAACCCACCCCTGTCCTTATTTTTCTCAGTTCTGTGGTATATACAATGCATTCTTACCTGCATTCTATTCATTTCCCCAATTCATTATTCTATCCTTTTCTCCTTGGCCACCCCCCCCCCCCCCCCGCCCTTTGCAGGTACTCATCTCCTGGTACTTAATTTGTTGAGCTCTGTCTTAGTCTTTCTAAAGAATGATACTATTTGCACTCCCCATAAGGTCTATTATACTTCAGCAAAGAGAGAGAAGTCCTGTGCTCTTTCTGTTGCTCAAGGCCTGGGCCATGAGTAGGCATATAAGGTCAATCCACTGAAACAAACACCTTGAACTGCCTGGTATTCAACAGGGTAAGGATGAATCCACAGACGGCAGTGGCAAGAATCAGTCCACCACATTATATCCTTAACCTACCAGTTGCCTCATTATCACCCAAGGCTGGTCTGTGCAAAAAGTGTGAGGCCCTACCTGAAAAAGAACTAAGGTAGAAATGCCCAAGGCATCACTTAAAAGTGATAGAACCTCCTGAGTCCACAAGTTCTGCCACAAGAAATGTGGTTCTGGATTTTGCAAGTCCTCGAGGTTACAAATCTTAATGAACATTGTATTGTGGATATGCCAGAAAATCAGAGAGCTCTGTTTCACAGGTCCCAGATCATTTTCATTTGGTTACGGTGTAGGCTTTTCTGTGACTGAGAGAGAACTAAACTCATTGGCTTGAATTTCCTTCCCTCTGCTCTTATCCCAGGGTAGTAGAGGGTCAGGAGAGGAGGACCTGCCCCAGTTCTGCATGTAGATGCCCACTTCCCTTTATAGTTAAAAGGCTGCCTCTAGCTTCCATAACCCTAAGATTGGAAGGGAAGAAGGCAGAGCTTGAGAAGACAAATAGGCAACCCAGAAGACCCACTTGTTCTGACCTCAGCCAGGACTTCTACTTTCTTCCTGAGCAGGCCCGAGATGTAGCGAATCAAACCCCATTCCTGGTTCAGGCCAGCTTTGCTATAGAGCTCGCTGAGGAGATTGTGAACAGTGACCCCATGCTGTCCAGAGAGATTTGTGTCCCAATTGGGACCCCTGTTAAGACATAGAAGCACAGACATATGATTGGAAGACATCATACTGAGAGAGAAAAGCCAAGCTCAAAACCCAAAATATTCTTTTATTCACTCATAATTGGAAGCTAGACCTCAAAGAAATATTCATGGAGATTTACATACTTATGTATATCCATTTACATAACTATATATAGAGATAAACACAGAATGTGAATCTAACAAAGAACCTCTTCTGTAGGAAGAGATGGGCAAGGAGAAAGGGGAAAAATTAGAGGATAATTGTGAAAGAGGACGAACATGGTGAAATGGATTATTTGCAACTATGAAAAGACAAGAAAACTCGTAGAAGATGTTTTGAGAAAAGGGGAGGAGTGATGGAAGGAGTGAGATTGATTGGAATATACTGTAAACCTATGTGGAAATGGAACAGTGAAATCCTCTGTATCACTCATGTAAGCTACTGAAAAATACTAAGAAAAGAAAAAGAAAAAGAAAGAAAAATGCAAACACAACCCGGAATGTTAAGACCCAGAATGTTAGGTTAAGACATAAGTCACTGATTATTATTCCAAATACCTGGACACACCCTATGTTTCTGAGCTTTTCCCAGCAGTCTCTGTCCTACCAGAGCTGGCCTATGTCCTCTGGAATTGAAGTCTAACATCCAGACATTGTTGCTCTTGCCCAAATCTTCTCATTCTGGGAGGCCAGCATCAGTAGGCAGAGAAAGAAATGGGAGTCTCATTCATGTTTTGGTGAATAAACTCATGGCCCAGGGTTGCCAAATGGCCAAGAGACTATAAAATTCAACATAGTGAATAGTCATAAACTTACTGCCATGGCTTGTATGTCTGTGTCCTCCATCAAATTCCTAAGTGAAACTTCTAACCTCAGGTTAGAAGTAGACAGTGGAGCTGGTGGCTCATGCCTGTATGCCAGCTACTTGGTTAGCAGAAGAAGGGCTGACCTGGGTACAATACATGGCGCCATATATGACACATAAAACAAAAAGAGCTGGGGTGTGTGGTTCAAATGGTAGCAGACTTGAACGGCAAGTACAAGGTCCTCTTAGAAAAGAGGCTTGAGGAAGCGAAGTGCATTCTTTCTACTGTGTCAGGACACAGTGAGAAGGCACCGCAGGCCCTCACCTGACAGTGGATCTGCTGACCCCTTGAGGGATCCAGCCTCCAGAACCGAGAACGAACTTGGATCATTGATACTAGTGGTTTGCGATATGTCATTATCGCTGCCCAATGGGACCAAGACACTTACTTTACAACATAGAGAATGTAGAGGATATCTGCTTGGTCCTGGAGATTTGAGCAATCTTTCAGCTGCTCAACCAGCTTCTCACAGTCCATGTCACCATGGTCATCTCTGGGCCACTGCAAGTCACCTTCAGGAGCCTGGCCACACAAGTCAAAAAGCAAGGAAAGGAGGGGGGGGGTTCAACATAGGGACTTTCAGAGATGATGAAATGGAAACATTAGTTTGGCCTTTTAACTCTGGAAGTGTACTAAGCTCTATGTTTTTCAGAAAATCTTTCTCACATTTTTATTCAGGGGCTTTCAGTATTTTTGGTCAGATGAATTACTGTGTTAGGTAATGTTTGCAAGAGACTATACTGAGCAGGTTAACATACATATACATTTTACTTATGCAAGGTTTAAAACTAGGAAAAACCTTTGTTACTAGAAATTATGAGAACATTTCTTTTGTGCCAGTCCTAGGGCTTGAACTCAGGCATGGGTGCTGTCCCTGAAAGTTTTTGCTCAAGGCTAGCAGTCTATCACTTAAGCCACAGATCTACTTCTGGCTTTTTGGAGATAGAATCTCACAGACTTTCCTGCCCAGGCTGGCTTTGAATCACAATCCTTAGATCCTAGCCTCCTGAGTAGTTAGGACTACAGGTGTGAGCCACTGGCATCAGCGAGAACAATTTTTTTATGCTCTCACTGTGGATGGAACTCAGGGTCTTGTGCATATTAGGCAAGGCTTTGCCACTGGTCCTATGGATTTGAAACATCTTGAGCCCTTAGCAGTTATCTTAGGATCACAGTAAGGGGAGGAATTGACAGGAGGCACAGAAGGTAGCCATTCTCACGTGTATTTCTTGGTCAAAATTCAACGTATTCTGTACTTGAGCTTTATCCATAGTTCTGTCTAAATGTTACACTTCAATAAAATAATTTTAAAAATAAAATAAATTCAAAACTTGTTTTAAACAACCTAAAACAGAAGTTAATTTAAAATATTCTCCAACATGTGGAAAAAAATCAAGGTGACTTGAATAAAATAACAAAATATATGAACCAATGGGGAACACCCTGGGATTTTACACTGCTAAAGATTCTGTTATGCCAGGCGCTGGTGGCTTACGCCTGTAATCCTAGTTACTCAGGAGGCTGAGATCTAAGGATTCCAGTTCAAAGCCAGCCCAGGCAGAAAAAGCCATAAAAGTGTTATCTCCAATAAACCAGCAGAAAACCGGAAGTGGCACTGTGGCTCACATGGCAGAGCACTTGCCTTGAGCTGAAGAGCTGAGGGACAGCGCCCAGGCCCAGAGTTCAAGCCCCATAACTGACCCCCCCAAAAAATTCTGTTACTCATTTTCATTACATTAAATGTATGAGCTATAGTGTCTCAATACCTGTTCTGCATGTTGTCTGCCTTAACTGACTGACTCAGAGCAAGATGATTTACTCCAGTGCTACTAGGGTTCTCATGATTGGGTAGAAAGGACATAGCCTTTTCCTCCAGGGAAAATATACAGAGTTGCATTAAATTCAGTGTACAGAATGATACAATGATGCAAATCAGATAGAGACAACCAAGTGACTGGATTCTCATCAACCCCAGAGTGTCTAAACCAAAAAGTTCTGGGTAGCAAGAAACATGCTCTTTGAGTTCCACTATTGAGAGAGCTCTTAGAACAAACCCAGGATCATGGAGTAGTACACTTTTTAAAGTTATTCCAAATACTTTACCTTTTTCAGCAGTGGCTGAGGACAGTCAACAAGATTCAGAGATTTACGATGGACACTTAGAACCTTGGTTGGCAAAATCATAGGAAGGACTGGAAAGGAAACAATAAAGAGCACTCATCTGAGGAAGAGCAATGAGAACATCTTCTTTTGAGAGGTACATTGTCTACTCCTTATCCAATACAAATGCACTGATGGAATGATTATTTAGATGAACTAATTTCAATGAAAATTGTCAATAGGTACCAGATCAAATAGATACATCAAAAGACAGAACATATACACATTAGCAATATGGAGATAGATTATCTGGCAGAGGAAACAATTGTAAATGGTGAAAATACTAGCCTCTAAGTAGATATGAGGGAAGAAGAACATTCATTTTGTTGTCTTTTAGAATTTTTTTTTTTAAATTTGTAAGTCCATGTTTCATCTTGATAAAAGAAAGTATTTTAACAGGCAAAAAAGAGTTGAATTAAACACACATGATGTTTCCAAACCCTTTGCTTTTGCCATCACAGAAAGTATGTCCCGAGTGGAGTGGATGGCACTGAAAATATGGCCGTCTTCTGTCTTCTTACACAGAGGGGGCAGATAGCACCTCAACGATGTGTTTTGCAGAAGGTGGTTGATATACTGATCAAGTTCATCGAGGTTTTCTGTAATTGGACAAGGAAAAAGCCAATAAAATCAAGCGACAGAAATATTCTAAATGCGTAACAGTGACTTGTGCAGAAGGCAGCTCTGAGTAGGTTTAATGGAAGACAACATTTAGATACAGACATTTGCACTTGCACCCACACCTGAACAGTAAAAGGATACTTGCAGATATAAAATATGTGTGTACAAATTTCTTGTTTGAAAAATATCATCCAAGAGAAGGAAAAGAAAATGTAGGTCAATATAGCAATAACGTATCATCCAAGATAAACTGCATAATCCCTAAGACAAAGTAAAGGCTAGCAGCCAATGCCTGGTCTTTAATTTGTCAAGAGCAAGCCACATTTCAATTTTAATGACTATTAAAAGGAATGAAACCTTGTTCAGATTGAGAAATGTTAGATACATGGGGCTTCCTAACTCTTACTAATCAAACCTAGTTCTTCTGCCATTCCTTTGCAAACATAGGCCAAGTATTTCTTTTACTTTTGCCAGTCCTGGGGCCTAAACTCAGGGCCTGGGCACTGTCCCTGAGCTGCTTTTTGCTCAAGGCTAGCTCCGTACCACTTTGAGCCACAGCACGACTGCTGGCTTTTTCTGTGTATGTGGTACTGAGGAATCAAACCTATGGCCTCATGTATGCTAGGCAAGTACTCTACCACTAAGCTACATTTCCAGCCCTAGGCCAAGTGTTTCTATCACATTTGTCTTGAGTGTCAGTGGACAAATTGGCTGTATCTAATAATAATAATAACAACAATAATAGTGATGACAATACTGTTTTGTGAGAAGTTCTGCTACACGTGAGTAAAATTTGGGAGTTGGAAAAGCTCCAATTTCTAGGGCATCCTTTGCAGTTTAGGTTCTTAAACTGGCATCTCATTCATTTTAATAATGCTGGATTTAGAAGCCTCTTTTGGTTTTTGCTTGCTTTCAGCTTAATTGGCAGTTAGTTGTAGGGCAACTTTATCAGAGTGCTTAGGCTTGAATAAACTCAACAAACCACCTGCAGAAGCAGTCCAAGTAGTACCTTGATTACTGGTGCCTTCCAAATATCCTCCGGGCTCTGAGTCACTATCAGGACTGAAGCTCCCTTCGCTGGTGTCATCAAACAACTTCTCATCGCAGCCTGGATCCAGGAAGGTTAGATACGTGTAGAATGATGTGGTGAGAAATTCTGACAGGTTCCCCAGTTTTACTCTGCCAAGAACATGGTATGTCAGAGTTGCAGGTAGAGGGTGGACAAATTTCTATAAATAACTGTTAGTTTTTTCAACAACCAGGGGGTACTTGTGACAGAACCAATAAATATAGTACTTAGTAGATTGCTCATGTCATAAAGTGAAGCCTGAGACAATACCAAGAATATACTGCAAATGCCCAATTAATTGTACAAGGCGTCCTTTGTACAATGATCAGATATTAAACAGAAGAGTTTATTTGGCAAAATGGTTCATTGTGGCCTCTGTCCTTTTTGCTCGGTCATGATGCCACACCATCTCTCTGACACTACAGGGAAGACAGGAGGGGCAACCATAGACACCACAGCAAACTGCGTGGAACCAGGATCTGCCCTGTGAAGGCATTAGTTTAGCCAGAATGAGAAATTTCCCCCAAAAGACAAATGCTGTGTGATTCTACTCAGCTGAGCTATTTGCCGAAACTCATCAGGACACAAAGGAGAAAGGTGAGGCAGGAGCAGGAGGAGGGAAAATGGGGATTTTTTTTTTTTTTTACAGATAGAGTTTAACTTCAATATGAAAACAATTCAGTCTTACCACAATGTGCATGCAATTAACCCTATGGAAATGTACGCTTACAAATAGTATAGATGGTGATGGTATATACATTTTACAGCAAATAAACAATGGTCATGCTTTTCCTATGGTAGCAGAGCCCCTGGGGTGGCACGTTGTGAAAAGAGGGTGATTTCAGCTTCCAAATACTCTTAGCATTTGACATTCCATGGGAACCCAACAGATGCCCTTCTGTGTCTGCGAGGCTGTCCAGCTGGGGTGCAAAGTACAGTTCTCTTGGGGGCTGCCTGGCAAAGCCCAGACATTCAGGCATAGAAGATAATAAATGCTAGAGAGAAATCCTGTGGCGCTCAGAGGTTACCAAAAAGGGATCCCTGCAGTGCCATCTTCCCTCCATCATTCAAGGTGCTTGAGCATCTCATTCTTGGCCTCTAGACTCAAATGTATCCACTAAAGCTGGGGAACAGTGATCTATGCAGGCCCAAACAGGTGTTCTGTTCTAAAGGACTCCAAGGACTTTGTCAGATTCTGCGAACTATTCTCAAGGTGACAGCACAGTCAGGTATTTGGGTTGTACATTTATTCAGCACCTACTGGCCCCTATGTGCTTGGTATTTTTGCCTATGTCTTTTCACACACACACACACACACACACACACACACACACACACACACACACACACACACACACACACACACACACACACACACACACACACACACACACACACACACACACACACACACACACACACACAGTGCACATACCTTCCAGGAAGGTTGGCATTTCATATAGAATATCACCCTGTTTCCTTGTCTGCCTGAGGCCCCCTGGCACACAGAAAATCTTAACAGACATCACCAGTGTTGCTTTAGATCTGATTCAAGTTCTATACAGGAGATGGAAGGATTGGTTAGGTATGTTTACTTTTTACTCTAAAACTCTCTGCTTCTATGTTCAGCTAGTGATATGAAAAATGGGAGAGGGGCAGCAAAAGCCTTTAAGAAAGGTCAAAGGTCAGGGCTCCTCTTACACACAAATTCATAATCAGATGTGCATATATATATATATATATATATATATTATATATATATAAATTACCTAGCTCCTCCAAAATATCCATCCTCCAGTTTTCTAATTGTAGAAAGAACTGCAGAATGAATGTCCGAGCCATCATTTGCTAGAAAACAGAAGTAAGGAAAATGTTTACTTATCTGGGAATACTTTTTGTTTGTTCCAGCTATGCACTGAAATGGTTTCATCAGTTTAAGTTAATTAAAATTCTTACAGCATACACGATTCCTGAAACCAAAACCAAAACCAAAAACCCCCAAACTGCTAGGAACCCATTCAGTACTCAGTTCTGCCCAAGGCAGCTGTTTTCCACATTTCAAGAAAGACCTAAACCATGGTAGATGTGAGCCAGCACATGGAAGTGAGGGAATTACTGAGCATGGTGTGTGTGACGGGGAAGGTGAGCGTAGGTCTGCCTGTCATCCGCCAGCAGGTGCACAGGTAGGCCAGCTCGATCCTCAGCATCTCCACGATCATCTCATTGTCCAGTGCCAGGTAGAAGTGATGCTGGTCGGTGAACTGAAAGTCAGAACAGGCCAGGTAAAGAAGGGCCATCCTTCCACTCATCTCCACACAACACCTGCTGTCACTCAGGGCAGCTGAATCCTGAGTGTTGTTTGTTGCCAGGAAAGATCGCTCAGTGATGGCCGTCATTTACCCTGGGGCCTCTCTCTTTTTGTCATCAAACAAATCAATCTTGCCTTGCCTAGGATCCATAGCTACCTGAGTTTGGAAGAGAAAAGGACACTGCTAGTGTCCAGCTTGTCCAATAGAGGACGTAAGCACCTTGCATAACACTACTGTTTCTGAGAGCAAATCAGTAACTCCTTAATTACTACTTGGGCTGCAGGGTTTGCAGATGGTTCCCAGGAGAGGGCCCTCAGAGCTGGCAAAACAGAGAGACTATTTATTTACCTGACCGACGCCAGCCTAATGTCAACCAAACTGCTGCTGTTTGATGTCCATGAAAATCAAATTGTCCTCTGGGCCTTAGGACTAGTTAGTGCATGCTCAGCTCAGAAGTGAAATTTGGTGCTAAAGGGAATAACTCACAAGGTTTAGACGCGCAGTATGGGCTAGGAAGGAAGAGTAGCTTGGTGCTAAGCAGTGACCTATGCTACACCACACACTGGAGAAGTGACTCCCACCATCCTAAGGAATGAGAACTATTTGGTATGTACATCTACGGGCTCATTTTGAAAACAGCAACTGTCAAGGTAAGTTCCAGAGTTAGTGTACTTCCTCTTTTAGTAAGGGAACCAGGGTCATACAGAAAGGCTGATAATAACTTCCATGGGGCTGTTTAGGGGCAAGGAGCTGTGAGTCAGGTGACATGTAAACTTGCAGAGCAGTGTGAGTTTCACTAACTGTCACTCATAACTGAAAGTGATGGCACACTGAGTTTGAGTCAGTCAACAATTGTTGAGCATCTACTACAATGAGCACAGCCTTGCACAAGGCACTAGGTATTATTTTTGATGTCCACATCTGAGCTTAGACATGCAGAATGGCACCACATTCAAAGTAGAAAAGCTTATCAGATAGAAAAGAGAACTTAATACAAAGAAGCTGGATGGTTTGCGACTGGCCTGCTCTTCTTACCTGGGGTGTAAAAGTAAAGATCTGGTTCCTAATCACATAGAGTTTAGAAGTTCCAAGAACACCAATGTGCCGATATGGTCGCCCACTCAATTTCATATTCCTATTCCGTCCTATTTGAAATGTAAGATAGAAACTAAGGTTATAGGGGAAAAAGAGGAAAAACTAATCCTTGTAGTTTAGGTTAAGGCTGGGCTTATTTTCATGTTAGACAATCCACTTTCAGGTTTATTCTTTCCTAATTCCCTTCTTTTTCTGCGTGCCAGTCCTGGGGCTTGAATCAGGGCTTGGGTCCTGTCCCTGAGCTTTTGTGCTCAAGGCTAGTGCTCTACCACTCCAGCCTTTTGGTGGATAAGTGGAGACAAGAATCTCATGACCTATCCTGCCCAGGCTGACTTCGAAACATGATCCTCAGATCTCAGCCTCCACAATTAGGATTACAGGCCTAAACTACCAGCGCCTAGCCCCTTAGTAAACAGGACACAGTTGAGTATAGAACCCAAATCCTACCCCTTTCTTTTTATGTATGTGTATGAATCATACCAATCTGATCCACCTGGAACTACTAAAAGGATTTTATTAATGCTGGCATTCTAATTTAGTTAGTATTTAGCCATTAAACTAAATGAAGATTGTAGAAAAGTAACCAGAACCAATTCCCATTTTAATGGGTAAGTAAGCATCTTTGTATATTATAGGAAAAAACAATTTCAATTATTATCAATTACCAATGCCAGTTTCAAGTGTGAATTTTCCAAAAGGGAGCTCCTTAGTTTACAGCCTATCTGCTGGCTGTGTGGTGGCACCAGCTGTGCACTGTGAGGTGAATGAGCTTGTATGTTCATTCTTCATCACACTGAAGCACTGCTATCACCTGCTTGGTGCTTTAGTTTCCAGTCTTTGTTGTTGTTGTGTGTCAGTCCTGGGGCTTGAACTCTGAGCCTAGGCGCTGTCCCTGAGCTCTTCAGCTCAAGGAGAGCATTCTACCACTTGAGCCACAGCGCCACTTCCATGCTTGGTGCTTTAGCCACTTCTTGAGACGTTTCTTACATCTCAGTGCCCACAGACCCCAAACCTAACACAGGGATGTCCCCTTACCAAACATGCCCTGATACTTCCCCAACCTACCAAGCTTCGCATATATGTGACTAAGAATCCGGCCTGGCTGCACTCGAATTGGATGAATATCTGCAAAGCTCTGGACACTGACTCCATGTTTCTTCAACAGCTCCTTAATGTGATCATTTTCTGCCAAAACAGTGACTGGGAACAAGAACATACAGTCAGCGCCGGACTGTGTCTGCTATCTCGCGCACTGACATGTAGAATTTCCCATCCTTCTTCCGCTGTCCAGTAACAGGCACATGGGCACGCTACCCATACCCTGTTGCCCTTCCTGGTTCTCTCTGTCCTTTGTTACCCCTTAACACCCATGATGTGCTTTTGTTAAGTGCCTTCAATGGACAAAGCACCCATAGACACTTCTCGAAATTGTTTTCAGCAGGTCCCATGCCCAAACTTACCCACAGTAAGTAATGTCTTGCCTACCACTGGCTGTGCATTTACTCTAAACCTGTCATATGTCCTTTTCTTCAGGGGACAGAAGCCTGTGCTCCTGCTCCAAAATGTCAGGGAAAAGAAGAGCAATGTGGTGGAGTCTGCTCGGAGTGGCTGCTCTGAATGAGGGGGAGAGGGAAGGGAACCTCATTCTTTCCAGAGAAAGGAAAGTGGGCCTGCTTGTGGGGATGCCAGCAGCCTGGCACATTCTAATCACAACAGAAGACCTCCCCCCGCCAGTGGGAAGCAACCTCTAAACTGGCCTGGGCCACATCTCAAGCGGGTGAGGCTGGACACTAGGCTCTCTGGCTGAGTACCTGGGCCACAGGGAAATGAACAGGAGGGAGACTTTGCTTGGTATCACATCAGGAATTGTCTGGGCTGCACTTGCTATGCTAGTACGCTGGTCTTGGTGTGAAGGGCAGCAGCCTAACAAAAAGAAGTCTGAGTATGGGCCTATGGAAGGAGAACAGACTCTCAGAGAGGCTGGTGTTCTTTTTAGCTGCAGAAGAACCTTCTACAAATGGAAAGGGCTCAGTAACTATTAAAGTGGACCCTAAGTCCCACCACTGTATCCATGGGTTGGTGGGGGGCGGGGCTGGACATGCAATTCATATAAATGCCACTGTGAGCTGAATGTTTCTGTAACCCTAGCCACTCAGGAGGCTGAGATCTGAGGATCACAGTTCAAAGCCAGCCCAGGCAGGAAATTCCCTAAGACTCTTATCTCCAATTCACCACCAGAAAACTGGAAGTGGCGCCATGGCTCAAGCAGTAGAGCACTCGCCTTGAGCTGAAGAGCTCAGGGACAGTGCCCAGGTCCAGAGTTTGAGCCTCACAACCGACAAAAAGAAAAAAAAAAGCATTTAGAAAGTCTATTAACTTCCCTGATTTTTCACAAGTCCCTGAGAAAAGCCTCTCATACCAGCTATAACTGAAATGGACTGGAACCTAATCCCACAGAATCTCAGTAAATGAGACCATGAACCATGCAGGACCGGCCTGGGGCTTCTTATAACACTTGTCTGAAGTTTCCAATGACACACGGAAATCCACGTGCATCGAAACCACACATCAGTCACTGTGCTGGAGCCACTTTTTCAGAGAAGGAGTTTTGATTGAGACCTGACAATTCCTGATAGGACACAGCCATATGTGGCCGAGTTTCAGACACTAGCCAGCCCCTGCTCCATGGCACACATACCGGTAATTTCCGCTCTTTTTTACTCCGCCACATTAAAAAAAGTTGGTTGTGACCCATCAACAAGTCCTGGCATATAGTTGAAAAAATAGTATTCTGCATGTAAGAGAATCACTAGCAGATATGCTCTAGTAGGGAGATGCCTGGATCAGCCTATCTGGATATCAGAAATGGGTTTGTATCACCAGCTGTCAGCTGTGCATCTTAGAATGAAATTAACCTCTAAGCCTCGCATGTAACATAGAGGCGATGACCATAATTGTCACAAATTTTACCTCATCCGAATTTTGTGACATGCAGATGTGTCCTGGGTCAGGCCTGCACATGGTAGCAATTGGGTGGCAACTTGAAGCTTGTTTCAGTGCATTACTGGCATGCTTATCCAAATGAGCCAATGGCCAAAGACAATCTAGGAATGCTTTCTATTGGTTTTCAGCAGATGGGGACCTATCTATCAAGCAATGTAGAAACTAATTTGGGCCTTGAACTTAAGTATACAGCATCATATAGAGACCATCAGTTATTTTCACAGTGGACTATGACATTCAGTGGTGTTTGATGAGGCACCAAAATATATGAGGGAGCTCCCAGAAGGACCTCATGAGTGCACACGACAGCCCGCTCACACATTTGTCTTAAAAAAGAAGCGGTATATTATTATAATAACAAAATATTAGGTTTACAGGCTAGAGATGAAGAGTAAACACAGTCACAAACCTTGTACAACAACATCAGGTTTGACAGCAGTGGAAAATCTTCTATTTAAGGGATCAATTTCACCAGTGGCAAGGAATCCCTAAGAGAGGAATATTAAAAGTATGAAATATTGATCAACTAAGAATTCACCTCATGCCATGGAAAGTGACATATTTAGGGGCTCAAAAACACTCAGGATTTTTAAAAAAAATTTCTTAAGTCAATCACTTTTTGTGAAACGGAGTAGGCTACTCCGTTTGCCACAGGTGCGTGTTTTGGTATGTGGCCGCAAGGCCAGTCAAACATATTCCTAGAATGGTAACTAATCATTTTTGAGCTGTTACTAGTGCCAGGAGGAGGGTCTGCATATACACTGTCACATTTCAACCTTCTAATCGATAAGTTCTACCTTCATCACCTTTTTTTGTGTGTGTGTGTGAAAATACCGTACAGAGGGGTTACAATTACATGGGCAAGATAATGAGTACATTTCTTATCAAGCATTGTTGCCTCCTCCTTTGTTTCCCCTTTCCATCCCTTCCCATAACTCCCCCACTACCCAATCCTACCTCCCAACACCCCCCCAAAGTTGTAAAGTTCATTTTTCGACATAATGATTTGTACATCTCATTGTTGCAATGGGTCTTCATCACTATTTCACAGGTGGGGAAATCAAGGTATACATGCTTAAGGGAATGGCCCAAGGATGACTTCTTTGCAACCTAAAGCTGTCTTTAGTGCTAAGTGGTTTTTGAAAATGCTTCTCATCACATTTTCTAGAAATGATCAGAGTACCCACAGAGTGCTTACAGGTGTCCTGTGAGGAAAACCTGCTACAAAAGGCCATTACCATGGAGAGGAAGAAGCAAGAGAATGGAAGTAGTTATTTCTTATCTCATAGATACAGAAATCAGAGCTGGAAGGTATCATACAGATGACCAAGTCCAAGCTTTTCACAGCACAGGTAAGGAAACAAGCTCAGGGAGATTATCAGAGCTGCCCAAAGTCACATGGATAGTTGGGGACAGGGTTGGCTTTGCAAAGGAGATACATGCATTTCCCCAGACATACCTAGGGGAACCACTGTTCCAATTCGGCGACTATAGAACCCAAGGGATGTTCCTGCTGTGCTATCATTCATTTGGTGTCTTACTAAATGAATGTTAAATGACACAGTGGGAGTCCAGTGGCATTCTGATTTACTGTCCCTTCTGTCATTTTAGAGCTAATAGGACATACAGCTGACCTGAACTGGCTTATGGTAAATATGGATGTGCAAGGCCAGGAGTCAAGCCTTGGAGTCGACACAGCCTAGGGCTTTTTTTCTTTTCTTTTGTCATGGGGCCTGAACTCTGGGCCTGGGCACTGTCCCTCAGTTCTTCAGTTCAAGGCTAGTGTTCTACACTACTTGAGCCATAGCACCAGTTCTGGCTTTTTCTGCTTATGTGGTACTGAGGAATCGAACCCAGGGGCCTCATGCATGCAAAGCAAGTGCTCTACCACTGAGCCACCTTCCAGCCCACTAGGGTTCTTAAAGGCATGAAGATACAAAAGACATTCAAGCACTTGCTGCAGACAGCCCCTGTGCTCTTCCACATTTCCTGTACCCCCAATTGTATGGTTTCTAGCCTGGGAAGTCAGTAAACTCATACCTCGGCTAATAGTGAGCTGAGGATGTACAAGGACTGTCCCCAAAGATGGGGGAGCTTCCCCAGTGGGATTCGGTCCACTGTGTGTGGATTCTTGTATTCTTCATCCACCTGGTAGAGAGAAAAAAAGCCAAAGGTCAGAACATCAGAAGACACAGAGTGGCGCTTCCCATTGGGAAATATGTTGATTTACAAAATGATTCTCACATTGCAGACCAATTCCATACAATGTAGAATGTGGGCCAGGAAGGCAAAAAGACTCTCTCTAGGGGCCACCTGGCTATAAACAAGAGGAGGACTTTGACTACTGGCCTGGTCTCAGGCCAGTGTGCTTCTGAAAAGCAAAATCAGTGCCAAGAGGTGCTGGAATCCTGGGCTTGCTCATGCATGTTTCTGAGTCTCAGGCTGGTTCACAGCTCATGCTTTTGTTTGTCTCTGTTAGAGTGTAAAACAGCAGCCTATAGCTGCTACATTGTACAGCTACACATCAAACCTGTGACATTTCCCTTCCTAGATCTTGTTTGCCATCCACAGTTGTTTAGAAATTTTGTGTCCATGCAAGACAATGACCAGAAGGTGGAATTATTCATTGGGGAAAAACACCTGAGCTGCTTAAACACGAATCCTTTATCTGCGCCTCCGAAAGCAGGAGCTATTGAGTTCACTTGCCTCATCAATACAAGCATAAGTGCTCTTTCTGATGGACAATGCTGACTATACTTTTTTGAGTTAGTTGGTGAATTTACCTTCTGAGGTTCAAGTCATTGTGACAGTGGTTGGTGGTAATGCCACTGACTACTTTTTTCCTCCGGAAAATATGTCAATCAAAAGAACTAGGAAACATTTCTCTTTGACAGGAAGATCATACCATGAAGGGACTCATTCTCAGCATATGAATTAATCATTGATATCAATATGTTCAGGAAAATTTCTCTTTTAAAACTAAGTTTTAGATAAAGTGAATGGAATTAAATGTTAGTAATCAATTATTCAAGTAGAATAATTGTATAGAAGGAGATTCTCCGTCAAATCATAGTGGTTAGAGTAACAGGATTAGTGATAAATATATTTTCTTTTTTTAAAAAATTATTTTATTGTAAAGATGCTCTACAGAGGGGTTACAGTTACCTGAGTAAGGTAATGAGTACATTGCTTGTCGAGCATTTGTTTTTCTCCTACTCTCCCTTCCCTCCCCACCTCTGCCACTCCTCCCCCCACCACCGAAGTTGTAAAGTTCAATAAATCTATTTTTCTTTCCAAAGAATCCTGTATGTTTTACAGTGTGCAGAGCTACTGTTAAAATGAGATAGTAGGAGCCAGTCGCTGGTGGCTCACGCCTGTCATCATAGCTACTCAGGAGGCTGAGATCTGAGAATTGTAGTTCAAAGCCAGCCTGAGCAGGAAAGTCCATGAGACTCTTATCTCCAATGAACCACCAGAAAACCAGAAGTGGCGCTGTGGGTCAAGTGGTAGAACGCTTGCCTTGAGCTGAAGAGCTGAGGGACAGCACCAAGGCCCAGAGTTCAAACCCCACAACCGACAAAAAAGAAAAAAGAAAAAGAAAGGCAGCAAAGAGCTAAAATGAGAAATATGCGACTGAGAGAACACAAAGCAGGCAAGGTGTCCTAGTCAAAAGATGGCCTCCATCTGACCTCCTTCTGGTCATGGCCAGGTCCTATCTCCATAAGGAGGTGTGTCTCCTCATCCAAACCCCTGCCCCTGGCCCTTCTGAACTGCTCAGAGGCACTCCGAGACACCAAGCCTCTGCCAAAGGTTTGCCTCTAAGCTGCTCCATCTCACCACTGACTTCCTCTAGCTCCACCTAGCCTGCACCAACACAGAGCCAGTAAGGGAACCACTTTTTTTTTCCAGTTGTGGGGCTTGAACTCTGGGCCTGGGCACTGTCCCTGCTTGGGCATTTCAGCTCAACCCAGCACTCTGCCACTTGTTCCACAGCATCACTTCCAGTTTTTTGGTGGTTCATTGGAGATAAGAGTCTCACAGACTTTCCTGCCTGGGTTGGCTCTGAACCACGATCCTCAGATCTCAGCTTCCTGAATAGCTAGGATGATAGGTGTGAGCCACCGGTGCCCAGCAGGAACCACTTTTACATCCCAGATTCTAATCTTCACCTGCCACAAAAGCAGCTGCTCACAACACATCTTGTTTTACACACTGAGTGCCCAGCTATGCAGTGGAAGGCCCCAGTGACGGTGGCACCACACGCAGGCATGCTACGCGAAGGACATGCAAACTCAAGCTGTGGGCTACCCTGGCCCAGGGATTTTTCTAATTGGCCATAGGAGCCTGTGGTGGCCTTGGCTAAAGGGCTCCTTCCTAGTGGGCTCCACAGGCTGTTGGTACACTTGAGGCATTTTCCTCGCTGTTACTGGCAAGCAGTCAATAAAAAATGAGGCCAAAGTGAAACAATTCCTAGATTGGTGCCTAGTACAAACACAAGCATAAACATGATGAGTGAAAGAATGTTGTAATGACAAGTAGAAACCCAAAGGTCAGTATGGGGTTTAGAAGCCATAGCTGCAGACTAACAATTTACAAAGCACAGTCACTACTGTCCATTGGAAAGAGAAGCGCAGCTTGTAACACCAAGCATTTCATACACTCAGAATGGGGATGGTTAGTCTCTATGAGAAAATAGGTAACTATTCCTGAGAGCATTTGTTTTCTTTTGTTTTGCTCTAGGTTACAAATTGCATCGCTAATTTTGTTTTGCCAAATGCCTCTAAAGCACCAATTCTTTTTTCGTTGGTTGTGGGGCTTGAACTCTGGGCCTGGGCACTGTCCCTCAGCTCTTCAGCTCAAGGCAAGTGCTCTCCCACTTGAACCACAGCACCACTTCCGGTTTTCTGGTGGTTTATTGGAGATCAGAGTGTCATAGACTTTCCTGCCTGGGCTGGCTTTGAACCACAATCCTCAGATCTCAGCCTCCTGAGTAGCTAGGATGACAGACTTGGCCACCAGTGGCTGGCCAAGAGCACCAATTTCAATAGGAGACATAAATATGTAGCTGCTGGAAAGTGACTCAGCTTCCACTCACGTGTCTAAGAATGTAAAGTGATGAGATTTGCATGAGACCTAGGTTGATGGCACCTAGAGAGAAAATAGCCTCTGCATGTTGCATATCTTGGTCTGTCTAGTGAGGGAAGGAAGCCATTCTCAACTATCCTCGATTCAGGCTTCATTTCTGCAGCAATACATTAAGAACACGGCACACAACATTTTGTGTTCTATAGACTTGCTTCTGCCTAGTGTTGGGGACTGCACAGATGCATTTTGTAAGTGAGTCATGGTCCAACTATGGCTCCGGCAAGCCACAAATCCTTACCGTGGACAGGAATACTACCTAAGGCTTTAGAAACCACATGGTGAAAAAGGGATGAAGAATACCAAAGGGCCACCACCAACTTCCTGCATTCTAGATGAGCAGCACAAAGGGGCCCTAGCACTACCAGGTTACCTTGTCAGGAGGGATGGCATAGAGTTCTGGTACCAAGTGGATCCCATCCTTGCCTCTGATTAATATTCCATCAAGGGCCTCCCGGTACTCTTGGACCTAGAAAACAAGCCCACAGCCCTTGGTATGAAAGAGGTCTTGTGATGAATGCTGAAATGGCACTGAAACTTAGAAAAAATGTTAGAAGTCAGCCACAGAACAAAATAATGCACAGATATTTGGCTGGTGACATGCCAGAGGGGCTCTCCTGGACAGCACACTATAGAGTTCCTCCCTAGGCTCAGCCCTATCTGTAAAGCTTCTAGACAAAGGGACAGAGCAGTCCTTCATGCAGTAGCTGTTTGTTCCTCACAATTTCCACAGTATGTGAGTGATGTGACTCTAGCATGCCCCTGCATGAGACATCCTTTCCAATGCTGTCTTAACTTACTTAGATATTTTACTCATAATTTCCCACATATTTAAATTTTTTCTCATCAATGAGATTATAAAATCCTTGGGATGAAAGTACTATATCAGGCAGTACATCACATTTCTACAGGTAGTTTTTCAAGCCATTTATTGCTTCAGAAATATGTGCTGGTTTGGGGAATGTGCTTCAGTACTAGACCACTTGACCAGAATGTACAAAGCTCTGGATTTTATACACACACTATCTCCCTCTCAATCAATATCAATCTCTCTCTCTCTCTCTCTCTCTCTCTCTCTCTCTCTCTCTCTCTCTCTTCTCACACACACACACACACACACACACACAAAGACAAGCTGGGTGCTGGTTTCTCACACCTGTAATCCTAGCTACTCAGGTGGTTGAGATCTGAGGATCATGGTTCAAAGCCAGCCCAGGCAGGAAAGTCCGTGAGACTCGTATCTCCAATTAACCACCAGAGAACTGGAAGTGGTGCTGTGACTCAAGTGGTAGAGTGCCAGCCTTGAGCTGAAGAGCTGAGGGACAGTGCCCAGGCCCAGAGTTCAAGCCCTCTGACCAGAAAAAAAAATTGTTGGTGGCTTACACCTGCAATCCTAGCTACTCAGGAGGCTGAAATCTGAGGATCAAGGTTTGAAGCCAGCCCACCTGGCTAGAAAATTCATAAGGCTCTTATCTCCAATTAACCACCAAAAAACTGGAGTGGCGTTGTGGTTCAAGTGGTAGAGCACTAGCCTTGAACAAAAGAGCTCAGGGACAGTGGCCTGGCATGGAGTTCAAGCTCCATTACTGGGTGGTGCATGATCATGCATGCATGCATGCACGCGCATGCGCGCGCGCACACACACACACACACACACAGAACAAAAACAATAAAACACTAAAACTTAAAAGCTCAGCCACATCTGAGATTGCTCATGGCCCATCCTCTAAACCCATGAGCAGAAAGTCAGATATGACAGCACAGGACTGAGTTTTGCAACCCTGCCAGTGAGTTTCACAGGTGCAACACAGCTTGTTCATGCCCAGCACAAGGTCTGGTACCAAGCAGAATCCAAAGAAACAGGTCTTAAAAAGGAAACTTTTTGCCTGTTCTGGCCTAAGACTTGGTATTCTGAGGAGAAGACAACCAATATTCTATGACTCAGCCTGTAAGAAGCTCCCCCTCAGCACACGGAGGAGGGACAAGACCCCAACAAGGGCCAAGCTGAGCTCTCAGCACCAGTGGATAAGCAGGATCACCTCACTGGCTGTGTGAGTGAGACTGTTTGGAGTAGGTCCTCCGGCCCCATGGAATGATTCTAGATGACACTGCAAGAGGCAGACAAACAGTCCCTACTGGCCCTGCTCAAATTGTAGTGTCACGGGCAAATAAAAGAGTTACTGCTTTAATTGACTAAATTTTGGGAAAAGTTTTCAAGTGGCAACAAATAACACAGTCATCTAAATTCTTGCCTAACCTTGTGTATTAATAATAATCAGCACACCAGTGGGGTAACAAATATCCTTATCAGTACAACATCCAAGGTTTTCTTACCTGAACAATGTCACCATTAAACACTCCATCTAGGATGAAATAAGTCCAGAACACAGGCCACTCACATTCGATGTTTTCAAAGAGCTTGAGTTCGGCAGGGTCATAATGTAACCTGTTTGGGTCCTGGAATAATATACATAAAACCTTTTCTAACGTGATATCTGATTAAATACATAATATCATTAGACCTTACTAGGTTTCCCTTGTTTGTCAGATTTAATGTGGCTTTGAGGTTGATATGAATAAGAGTCTACTGTAATGGGGAGAAGCTACTCTTAACAGTTTTCCATGATAAAAAATTTAGTAAATCAGATGTACAAGACAATATGTTGAAAACGAACTTTACAACTGGGGGGGGGGAAGGAGGAGTTGGAGAGGTGGGGAGGGAAGGGAAGGGAGGAGAAAAACAAAGGAGGAGGTATCAATGCTCAATAGGAAATGTACTCATGACCTTACTCATGTAACTATCACCCCTGTGTACAGTATTTTTACAATAACACACACACACACACATATATAAAGAAATACACACAAGACTCCTTGGTAGTCTTGGTAGGAACCTTGTTTTTACTGCCAAGGGCCATTTAGATATTTATAACATCATTCATTCATAGGCTCAGACTATTGCATTGTGCTTTCAAAAAACCAGCATTTGTTAGATTTTAAGTTCCATATGCTTGTGCGTCATAGGGCACACTGGCCAGGCATCCTCACCCTTGATAAAGCATCCTATTTCTTAATTTTCCTATTACAGTGCCTAGCCAATGATCTGTTTTATTCATGTCATTATACTAGTCACCAAAGCAAAGAATCCTAAGAGATGGTCACAGGTGATCTTTTTTTATTTTTATTTTTGTCGGTCGTGGGGCTTGAACTCTGGGTCTGGATACTGTCCCTGCACTCTTCAGCTCAAGGTGAGCACCCTACTGCTTGAACCACTTCTGGTTTTCTGGTGATTAACTGGAGATAAGAGTCTAACAGACTTTTCTGCTGGGATGGGCTTTGAACCGTGATCCTCAGATCTCAGCATCCTGAGTAGCTAGGATGACAGGCGTGAACCACCAGTGCCCGGCTACAGGTGGTCTTTTAAAAAATATGTAAGCCACCAAATTGTCCTAATCAGAAACTGACTTTATACTATTGCCTTACTGTCTGATGACCTACTATACTATTCTACTGCCTAATTCCAGGCTTTTTGACTTTGAAATTAGTACTGTCCTTCCAAAATTCCAACATATAATTATAGTTAATAAAAGGAGTACACAATTGCAACTTAGATATGGAGACAGTAAGAAAGCATAAGTAACAATTTTGAAATACAACCTCTCTTGGAGTTTTGTAACCATCTCGAAGGAAGCGACAGCATCCATAACGCCCCTAGTAAAGCAAGGAAGTACATTTGATGAGAGCAGAAGAGTTACTTTGTCTTTTTTCTTTTATTAAGGTCAGTCCTTCTCAAGATGCATTGTAATCATAAAATGATATGCTGAATTGAAACCCCTTTGTAAACTAAAGATAATAAGCTTACTGAAAACATTAAAAAGTCAGCCTGTCACCTTTGTTCCCATGAATCATTTAGTAATGAAATGTGTATCGAGTATTGTTTGCTCTTAATAGACAATTATTTTTTAGGTAATAATAAGCAACGAAAATGTAGGCATGACCAGTATTTGGAAGAGAATGTCTAAACATCATTGATGGATCGGGGCAGCAAGGTAATTATTAAGAGTTCAATGAATGACTATTCTTTCATTCTGATTTGCTGTATTACACAAGCATGCAAAGGGACCCTATTTGGAGAAGCCATCAAGCCAGATCTTTGAATTCATTGGCTTCTGCCTATAAGACTGAGAAGCTCAAAGGATTCCCCCAACTCCAGTCCTTGAAGTCAGGTTGTACAGGCAGAGGAGGCTCTAATATCAGATGCCCCTATGGTATGGCGTGGAGGGAGGGCTTTCTGCATTGGTCTTTCTCAGGTTCTTGCCAAGAGAGGAAAAGCCTAACACTTGACATCTGACCCCCCTGATCCCTGGATGACAACTTGGGGTGCTGTTCTCTGGTTTCTTCAGAGTGCATGGCTGTTATGGCAGACCTGCTCTTCCACTATCTGTAAAGGACAGAGCAGCCAGGGCTGTGTAGTCTGAGGAGTCATCCTGGGGTGGCCTAGCCTACAACCCTTCATCTTGCAAGCCCATTCATTCTGTCTTCCTATGTCAGCTGCCCCTCAAAATGCCATTTTCTCCACAAATCCTGATCACTCTAACTGTCATGTTTTCCGAATAGATTGGAGATCCTAAGTTTAGCATCTTTGTCTCCATCTTTGTTTCACAATCAAGAGTAAGTAAGACAATCAAGATGCAAATTTTGGTTTAGGAAATTCACATTCTTTGATTATTTTACTGAAAGTACCAGCTGGCTAGAAAACTTATTCTTAACAGTCTCTATTTAATGTGATATGTCAGTAACTGCATCTCACTGTAGGGATTTTTAAATCTTCCCTCATCTTGTTTTCTTTTTTTTTTTTGCTCGTCCTGGGGCTTGAACTCAGGGCCTGGGCATTGTCCCTGAGCCTCTCTGTGCTCAAGGCTAGCACTCTACCACTTGAGCCACAGTGCCACTTCCAGCTTTTTCTCTTTATGTGGTACTACGGAATTGAACCCAGGGCTTCATGCATGCTAGGCAAGCACTCTACCACTAAGCCACATTCCCAGTCCTTCCCTCAACTTGAGATCACTAAGTCCCATGAAATTCGGTACAAAGTTTCAGTCTATACAGACATGATCATTTCTTTTTTTTTTTCTTTCTGGAAATGAATCCATGGCTTTCAAAAGATTCTCAAAGGAATCTGTCTTAGAAGATCATTATTGGTAAGAATTGGGGTTCAAAATGCCCTGTTGGATGAAAGTTCTCCAACTTAAGAAGAGAACCATGTCACTTAATCACTATGACACTTTTCTTGCCTGTAGACATAGCATTGGCCATTGACTCTGTAAGTTCACCTTGATAAAGCAAGCCATGACCCTGAAGCGTGAGCTGCTCCATGTCATCAGGTAAAAATGGCATTCAGCACAGAGCAGATGGTCACCAGCACGACCAATGATTACCTGGAGCTTAGAAATAATTTCATTTTTGGTCACATTCACAAGGTTCACATCTTCCACTGCAAAAGCCGGGAAAGAAATAATGGAAAGAAGTCCAGCATCAATTTCTTTAGATGTTGATGCTCTTGGCAACATGGAGAACAGGATAGACTGAAGGAGAAACCAAGAGGAGGGTTAGTCTACAGAAGTAGTAATTGTTAAGTGTGCTACTAGGAGCCAACACCTAAGCCCCAAGAAAACATTTATCTGAGTTTACCAATTTGGAGTAAAGGTTTGTCTACCACCATGGCACCTGGTGTCCAACTTTACTTATCTGGTCAGTGCCTCCTGTTCATTGTGAATGGAGAGGAGGTTGGATAGAACATGCATTATTTTGGAGCCTATGCTGAGAACTGCTGGTCTCTTCCACATTCTCTATTGAGTTGAATGGATCGATAGGACATATTGGAAAGGAAACGACAGAACTATCTGTTGTTTTTGTTGTCTGTGAAGATACAAACTAAAAAAAACATGCATATAGGATCAACAAAGAGAAATGACTGCTTCTGTGAGATGAGACCAGTTCATTTGGGTGACCCAAAAATGCTTAAAGGAGTCACTTTTGGAAGACCCCCACGCATGCTTTAGCAAAATAAGGAACAACAAATTCGTTTGGCCCTAGAATCTTTCTAGGGTTATTAAAGACACTGGAGTAGGGCCTCAACTGTAAGTGGCTGGAATAGGCATTGTGAACATGGAAGGCAGCGGGAATCATAAAGAAACACTTGGGTAGGGAAAGAAGCCAATGCTGAGATCTAACATGTACAGACATGAGGCTAGATTCTGCCAAAAATAAGCTAATTAAATCTTCCATATGAGGAAGGAATTAAGGTATTAATTGTATGATTTATACACAATGACTCTGAGACTCAGACACAGAGATCTGGGCCTAAGGGGCATTTAGCCAGCAAATGACCTGACAGGGGAAGTATACAATTTTCCTTTCAATGACATGTCTATTAAGATACACACCAGCATGTCTCTCTTACATGATAAAATACCATATTCCCTATTACTGACTCTTTTTAATGAGGGAAGATACAGTGAGGTAGAAAGTGGGGTAAAGATAGGTGGCACAATTCAGATTCAGAATAAATCTATACTATTATTATTCGTGTGTGTGTGTGAAGCTAGGAATCAAACCCTGGGCCTGGCATATGCCATGGAAGCATTTGTCCACTGAGCTACACCTGAGTCCTAAAGCTTTATTTTCTATGAGGAACTGATATCTAGGCCTAGTTGAAGACATTTTGAAAAATGCAGTATCAGGGGATTTCATCATTGGGCAGAACATTGCAGATTACACTTACACAAACCTAGATGGTATAGCTTTACTATAGTTATAGCCTATATATATGTAGTCCCTTGACCACAATGCCATAGTTATACTCATTCTTCTCCAGGCTTTCCCTGACTGGAAACAAAAGCTTCCAACTATAAACTCTCCATTGACAAATTTTTATGTATGAGGCTGACTTTTGCCCTAGCACATAGTGAAGCCCCAGTAAGTGTTTGATGATGGACTAGCAATTGATGACTCACTGTTTGCTTCATGGAGTCCCCTAACATTTAACTATTCTATTCTTTTCTTTTTTGTTGGTCATGGGCCTGAACTCTGGGCCTAGGTGCTGTCCCTCAGCTCTTCAGCTCAAGGCTAACACTCTACCACTTGAGCCATAGCGCCACATCCGGCTTATCATTATGTTCTATAATCTGTACTTTAGGGAGGCTCTATTAATGTGCATCTCTCCCAGCATATCTCCCTTCTACTACCCATTCTGTTCATCAAGCCCTACCCAACTCAGATAGTGCTCGCTAATCATTCAATATGGATGTGTTATGAAATAAACTTCAGTAAACCACTTATGTGCTCAAAGGACCAGCAATAGGTTTTACCCCCAGCAAAATAAAGTTGCTTTGGTTTCTGACTTTCTATATAGGGCCACACTGTATCTTTTGTCTGAATAGTACTTTCTGGGTACAAGGTACTTGGATAAATTGTCTGGGTTCATCCGCTCCAGCCTAACAACTATCTTGTAAGGCAGCAGACCAATGTGCCCCTTTGTTGATACGAAATCTGGAGCTCAAAGAAGTCAGTCTGCTAGGAAGGTAGGGATTCCAAACTAGAGCCCGGGCCTTTCCTCTGGGATTCTTCTTCTCTACTGTCTGGAACTCAAGGGGCTGACCTGTTACCTGGCAGTGCTCGACTTCATCAGGTAGCACGTGGATCACTGACTTGCGTCCACCATGGGCTCCAAAAAGATCCAGCTCATCAATTGCTTCAAGTGCTGCCTAGAAACACATACAAATTCTTCTTCTTCTTCTTTCTAATAAACATATACTCCAGTACCAAAAAAAAAATACTAACAAGTACATAGCATCGTGTATGTGTGGCACTAAATTCATGGCTGGCTTTTCTTTTACCTGCTTTACTGGTTAGCCTCTATCATGAGTTCATTTGACACATCAGAAATGAAATTCTTTAACCCAAAGTACATTTTCTAACAGTTTCCTTAAAGATTATATTGTTGCCAAGATGCACTGTGCTTGTAAATTGACATACTAATTTGCAACCCTTTGGAAAAAAGAAAAACAAAAAGAAGACAAAAATAAAAAATTCTGGCTCTGGAGCCTTGGTTCTGTTGGCAGGCTGATATGGCCCCAACCAGGTGTGCACTGCTTTGAGAGGAGTTTCTTGCTGGGCACAAGTCGTTCATACTTGTTCATCCTAGCTACTCAGGAGGCTGAAATCCAGAAGACCATGGTTCCAAGCCAGCCCAAATAGAAAATTCTGTAAGACTACATCTCCAAAATAGCCAGCAAAAGGCTCGGCTATAAGCATGACTCAAGTAGTAAAAGGCAAGCTGAACAAGGGCCAGGCTCTAAGTTCGAATTCTTCCCTCCGCTCTTGCATTGGATTTATTTTGTTTTATGAGATTCAAGTCTCATTATGTTGCTCATGTCAACCCTGAAATCCTAGGTTCAATTGCTTTTTCTGCCTCAGTCTCCTAAAGAGCTGAGATTAGAAGCTCAGGATAGCATACTAAGTTGGAAATCTATATTGCATTGAGTTGGAATACCTTTAAGGAAAGTTCCCAGTGTCCTGACATTCCCTTTCTCCATTCAATATGTTTCTTTTTTTTTTTCTTTTCCTTTTTTTGTGTCACTCGTGGGGCTTGAACTCTGGTCCTAGACACTGTCCCTCAGCACTTCAGCTCAAGGCAAGCACTCTGCCACTTGAGCCATAGCACCACTTCTGGTTTTCAGGTGGTTCATTGGAGATAAGTCTCACGGACTTTCCTGCCTGGGCTGGCTTTGAACTGCGATGCTCGGATCTCAGACTCCTGAGTAGCTAGGATGACAGGCATGAGCCACCAGCACCCGGCTCTTCAATATATTTCTAATTTACCAGCTTTGCTGGTTATTACTTGTTCAGCCTCATAGAGCTGAATATGTGAACTCAATTTACAAAGTGTTCATATTCTTCAGCCTTCTCTATGACCCAGAAAGGAAAGGAAGCCAAATACAAGCCTGCAGCTTCTTAACAGAAAGAGCTCCATTAGCCTGATGGGTGATCACAATGGATAGCCAGAAGACAGTACACCTTTTCTGTTACACACACATTTCAGTATAGGAATCCCATTTTCTTGATCTAGGATTTCCCTTCTCTGGTATACAAGTGCCATGTGAATTTCTCATACTTACTGACTTGTGAGAAATGTGCTAATCATATGAAATCCATGCCTAATGACCAGAACCTAACTAAAGCAGTAAACACATACAGAAGGGAAAACAAACTGAACTGTCACCTTGGCCATTCCCACAGAGCTTGCATTCAATTCTGGAATGCCCTGGTTCGTCTTATCTCCACGCTCCCACATTCCATAATCCTGGGAGAGAAAAAGGTAAATTTTAGAGGGTGAGAAAGAGGTATATGAGAAGGCTGTGGAAAAATGATTTCCGTATGTTATTGTTAGGGCTAGGAGCCAACTCCATGGCTTCGCACACTCCCATTCTGGTCTTCCTTACTATCAGTTCATGTGACCTCTGCGAAGAATTTTAGAAGAAAACACTCAAGTGGAACAAATGTGCATGCAAAACCACTCTCAGATTTCTTATTTCTAAAAACGTATTAATTTGTAGGAAACCTTTGATTTGTGGTAAATAAGCTACCTGTCTATAATCAAATAAAGAGCGTCCCTCTCTGTAGCCAGTGCCTTTGAGCTTAAATTGTAAGATAGAATTAAGGAACTTTAATTTATTGAAGCCAATAAACCCATCTAAAATATTTAACAGTATCTCTGAATGCAAATACTTAGCTAGTAACTGGATTCAAAGTCAAAAGTGAGGCACAGAAAAATGAATTATGAATTAGTTTGGAATGCTCTGTTACACAGAGGACTCTAGGCATGTGTATATAACTTGGTGAATCATTTAACAATCCAAGTAATGCTGGACACTGGTGGCTCATGCCTGTAATCCTAGCTACTCAAGAGGCTGAGATATGATATGATATGGAGCCAGCCTGGATAGGAAAGTCTGTGAGACTCTTATCTCCAATTAACTACCAGAAAACTGGAAGTGGTGCTGTGGCTCAAAGTGGTAGAACACTAGCCTTGAGCTGAAGAGCTCAGGGACAGTACAGTGCCCACCCCTGAGTTCAAGATGCATGATGGTCAAAAATAAGTCTAGCTACATGCTGTTTCAAAATTCTATGTGTACTCTTAAAAGATTGCAATCCAAAAGAAGATCAATGTCAAAATGGTAGTCTAGTTTATGTTCCAGTCTCCAAATATTTGAAAATCTGAACCCTGAAACTTAGACAGAAAATAGCCATTTTGGACCTCGTCCTGTGGGTAGTACTTGTAGCCTAAGGCAGGTAAAGTCTTTCCTGTAGCCCTCTTCCCTTCTTTTGATTCAATCTGTCTATATTCCAAGCCTATAGCTACATGACTCATCATCAAAAACTGATCAACTCACTTTCTCGGTTCAGAGTCTAAAGTGACACACTTTTTTTTTTTGGCAATCCTGGGGCTTGAACTCAGGGCCTGGGCACTGTCCCTGAGCCTCTCTGTGCTCAAGGCTAGCACTCTACCACTTAAGCCACAGCACCATTTCCGGCCTTTTCTGTTTATGTAGTACTGAGGAATCGAACCCAGAACTTCATGCATGCTAGGCAAGCACTCTACCACTAAGCCACATTCTGAGCCCAAGTGACACACTTTTTAACCTAGTAGACATTTCTTTCTGCATGGCCATATCCCCTACAAATTTGTCCTTCAACCCTTATATGCTCATAAACTAAACTTTTTTTGGGGGGGTGGTGGTAACAGGGCTTTGTTCTTACCTGGTTTGTTTGTTCATCTGGCACTCTACCACTGGAAACATGCCTCCAGCCTGGGATTTTTGCTAGCTATTTTGGAGATAGAGTCTTAGACTTTTCTGTCAAGTCTGGCTTCAAATCATAATCCTCTGGGTCTAGCCTTCTGAGGCTATAAGCCACCAGGCCACTGAATTTCCTTTCTGCTATTTTCTAATGTCATCTCTGATCATAAGTCTGCTCCTTTTCTGTCCCAAGTGCCCCTACCTATCCCAAGCACACCACTTGTCCTCAGAATCTATCCCTGCCACTGTAACAGTTGATGCTACATGATACACCTGAACCTAAACATCCTTTCTCCCCCCTTTTCCTTATCTAAACCCTACTTATTCTCCAAGGTCCAACTAAAGGCTCTTTCTAGATACAATGGTTTCTCAAGTTTCCTTAAACCAAGGTTTGTCAACTTTGGCACTACAAACATTTCCAGTCAGATAAAACTCTTTCCCTAGCATTGGCTTACTAGGTGTCATTAGCATCCTCTTCCCTCAATGTGACTACTGAAACAGTTCCCAGACACTGCCAAATGTCCACTTGGAGAGAAGGATTACCCTTGGATGAGAATCATTGTTTCAGATGTGTGGGTCACAAAATGATTGCCCTTGGATCAAATCTTGCCACCTATTTTTTTTTTGTGGTTGCTATTTTTTTTTATGTGAAAAAACTGTACAGAGGGGTTACAATTACATGGGCAAGATAATGAGTACATTTCTTATCAAGCATTGTAGCCTCCTCCTTTGTTTCCCCTTCCCATCCCTTCCCATCCTACCCCCCTCCCCCCCCTGCCCCCCCGCACCAAAGTTGTAAAGTTCGTTTATGACATGACAACTTGTACTTCTCATTGTTGCAACGGGTCCACCTGTATCCTTATTTAAACGACTTGTTTTTCCCCTTCCCCTCCACAAATTATACCGACATCAAATACAGTGAAAGCAAGGGTTATACTGTGGGGGAGGGACATACAAAACAACAAAGAAATAATCTTATAAATGCATTAGAAACAATCGCATGAAAGAAAAAAAAACATTTAAATACATATATCTTAGGGTTCATTTTCCTAACATCAGCTTATCTGACCTTTTCTGCTTGACTCATACATATACTAACTATTGCAAATAAGGGAAACCATGGGACCTATGTTTCTTTGGGCTTGGCTCTTGCCACCTATTTTTATAAAGTCTAGTTGAAAGAGCCACAGTCATTTGTGGAAATACTTTCTATGTACAATTTTCCTGTCGCAGAGGGACAGTAGCTGCAATGGAGACCATGGCTTTTGCAGAGAAAATATTTACTGTCTGGCCTTTTGTACAGAAAGTGTGCTGACCTTTCTTTAGGGTGCAGTGACTTCTTTCTTTTTTTTGGTCAGTTGTGGGGCTTGAACTCTGGGCCTCGGTGATGTCCCTCGGCTCTTCAGGTGAGCACTCTACCACTTGAGCCACAGCACTACTTCCAGCTTTTTCTGCTTATGTGGTGCTAAGGAATCGAACCCGGGTCTCATGCATGCAAGGCAAGCACTCTACCACTGAGCCACCTTCCCAGACCCGACATTTCTTTTTTACACCAACCACTGCCCTTTGCTTACTTCCCTCACAGTCAGCTTTGCAGTTCAGTTGTCTATAGTTACTCCAGGCTCTACTTCTAAGCTAGGCATGTCTTCTTCCATGTGCTTATACCATGGCTAAGGTCTCTCTACCTGTAGGGTCATTATGGTCCTCTCCATGGCTCTCCAGCTCCCAACCAGGCACCAATTCTCCCACCTCTGCAGACACATCCCATGGAACATTTTAGGGTCTTATTTAAGGTAAGCAGAAGACAGACACTGGTGCACTCCAAAACATAAATCTGTATCCCAGGACAAGAAAAATGTGCACTTTGTATGGGTAGTGACACAATGTTAGAGCTCTGGTCTTTGAAATCTTCTGTTCAGTCCCAAAGGAATTGGATTTAAAAGAACAATATGGTTTTTCTTCTTTTCTTTCTTTCTTTTTTTTTTTTTTTTGGAGAACCGGCACATCCATAAAAGACAAAAGTACTGATACTTACAGCGACTTTATATGCAGCTTCTATATAAAAGACAAGATTCTGTATGAAGGCCACCTCATCAAGGGTGAAAATAATACGTAAGCCTAGTAAAGAAAAATAAAGTTAGCTTTTAAAGGGACCTGTCCATTATACATGACACACATCACACTACGAAACCAATCCTTCTACCCTCATTTTCATTTTTCTTACAAGGGCATCAAATATTAAGGCTGAAGTACATCAAAGAGTTGATGCATGATCGCAGAAAGAGGGTGGAAGGCTGGCTATCTTAGCTACTTTGCCAGTTATCCATCAGATAAGAATTAATATGTAGAATGTACAAAAAGCTCCAAACAAAAGACCAAAAGAAAACAATCCAATGAATGTAAGGTCCACCCCAGGAAGGCGGGGTACAATCCTTCCTCCTCTTGGCTAAGTTTCTACCCAGTACTGTGTCACCTAGGTAACTGGTACACCTGGAAGCATGGGAGGTTACATCCATATTCAGCAGATTACAGCCCCCTTTGGTAAGTCCAGGCCTAGGGTGGCTGACCCCTTCAGCCGTGTGTGTCTCCACCACACACAGTAGCAGGGGGCAGGCAGGCAGTTCGGAAACAAAACTTCTCTTTCTGTCTGAATACCACGTGGTATTCTCATTCATCAGCAATTTACCTGACAAATCATAAATGGGCAAATGAACAGTTTTCAACAGAAGTATAGTCAGGTGTTGGTGGCTCATATCTATAATCCTAGCTACTCAGGAGGCTGAGATATGAGGATCATGATTTGAAGCCAGTCTGTGAGAGTCTTATCTCCAAGCAACCACCAACAGGCCAAAAGTGAAGCTATGGCTCAAGTGGTAGAGAATCAGCCTTGAGCAAAAAAGTTCAGGGATAGCGCCCAGGCCCTGAGTTCAAGTCCCAGGACACACACACACACACACACACACACACACACACACACACACACACACACACACACACACAAAGTACAAGCTGCCAGGCACCAGTGGCTTGTGCTTATAATCTTAGCTACTCAGGAGGCTAAGATCTGAGGATCACGGTTCAAAGCCAGCCTGGGCAGGAAAGTCCATGAGACTCTTATCTCCAATAAACCACCAGAAAACCGAAGTGACGCTGTGGCTCAAGTGGTAGAGTGCTTGCCTTGAGCTGAAGAGCTGAGGGATAGCGCCCAGGCCCAGAGTTCAAGCCCCACAACTGACAAAAAAAAAATTCCCAGTCTTGAGTACTTTGTTATAGTCACACAATTGGACCAAGACACTACCCTCTTCTCCATTCCTTTTGTAAATTATCATTCCATGTGTCATGGGCTCAAATGGCCTTGACTTACCTGAGGCAGTCATTTGGGCCAAGAATAAGAGGAAGAGCGAGGTGGCATCCACCTGGAGGTGGCCCCATTGGTCATCGCCCACCACAGTGCTACAGGTAGCAGTGTTATACTTGGCATGCAGGCTGTCTTTGGTACTCTGTGTGTGCTTGAACTTCTCCACTTTGTCCACCTGAGGAAAGAAGCAAGCTGATTCCACATAGCTACATAGGCTCATGGGTGGCTTGAGATCACATGGAAGGACCGTGTAGACTTCTTACCTGCTACCTCTCAGAGCCAGAGCCAGACTGCTAGTGAGCAGTTGATGTGGGGACTATGTTAGGGATTCTTCCCACACATTCACTAGAAATGCCTCAGCCCAGAGATAGGGTGGGAAAGTTGGGGGGGGCACGGGGAGTAGTTATCAAAAGTCAGGCCAGAACTTAAGCTAAGACTAAGGAAGGTACTTAAGGAGAGAGGGAGGGATAAAAGTGAGAATAACAAATTAAATTTCAACTGTTTTCCTAATGTTGAAAGAGAAGCACATTATGCCTTCGTATTTGATGACTGAAGACAGGGGCTGTATCGCATACCACTTGGGATTCATGCAGATGCTAGGATGGGTTCTGTGTTCAGCATGCGCTCAACGTATTATTTTATTTCCTCCCGACTGAAAACATCAGTAAACGGTAAGACTAAATTTTTGAAACTCAAACACGTAGCCCCAAATGAAGATATCTCCTTTTCTAAGCTTGGCAGAATTTTAAAAAATCACATGATTTTCACACATGCAACTCTTCAAAAGAGAGTCTTAGGAATCGTGATCTTAAAGATGATGGATTCTACAGAATAATAAAGTTGACGCTAAGTTTAAAAAGAGAAAGTAAGCAGAATATATTTAATTTCTCTTTCTGGAGAAGAAATCTTCAAAACATGCTAAGCATATTAATTATTACCAAGAAGGCATAAAATGTCCCAGGCACTTCCCACCTACCTGTCTCATCATGCATTGGAGAAGACCTCGCATTAGCTTCACCACGTTCTGTGGAAAGAAAGCTCCATTTGTAACAAAGGCCAGGCTCCTTGCTCCCACAAAACCATCTGCTAACCCCCAAATGGGTAGTAGACCAGTACCGTCCAGCATCTTCCCTGATAAAGTGGATCCTAAGCGTACATGAGTATCATGATTGTTCAGAGTATCGATTCTTCTCCAGTCCATCACAGAGAAAGAAAAGGCTGGACACAGCAATTTCTTTCAAATTACAAGGTGGGACTGGATGGCATATTTTGTCCTTTAAAATTCAATTATTCAACAGCCATTTTTGCAACACAATTTTTATAAGCCTAGTAACTCTGCAAGTTTACATCATGGAGTTTAGTAATTAATTTTTGCTATAGTAAGGATGAATTAAATCTACTACACCCATTCAGAAGAAATGATATTTTTTCTAAGAGACATTTTTTAACTGTATTTTTTTGTCTTTTCTTTTTTGGTACTGGAGATCGAACCCAGGATGTTGTACTTGCTAGGCAAGCGCTTTGCCACTGAGCTACATCTCACCCCTCTAAGAGACATTTGTGATACCCTCACTGGACTATTGAGCCAAGTTCTTAGAAAAAGCCAGTGGTGGGGCTGGGAAAGTGGCTCAGTGGTAGAGTGCTTGCCTTGCATGCATGAGGCCTTGGGTTCGATTCCTCAGCACCACAGAAGCAGAAAAAGCGGGAAGTGGTGTTATGGCTCAAGTGGTAGAGCGCTAGCCTTGAGCTGAAGAGCTGAAGGACAGTGCCCAGGCCCAGAGTTCAGGTCCCACGACCAACCAACAAACAAACAAACCAGAAGGCAAGTGGTAGTGGATGTTGCTGGCTCATGCCTGTAATCCTAGCTACTGAAGCTGAGATCTGGGGATCATGGTTCGAAGCCAGCCTGGGCAGGAAAGCCTATGAGATTCTAATCTCCTAACTACCAAAAAGCCAGAAATGGAGCTGTGGCTCAATGATGGAGCACTAGCCTAGAGTAAAAAAGTTCAGTGACAATGCCCAGACTCTAGTTCAAGCCTCAGGACCAATACTGTAATACACTACAACCAATTACTATTATTCTCATTGATACAAATAATAATAATAACACTACATTGGTCATTAGACACTATATCCAGGCATTCCTTGGATTATCGTGAATTCTTGCACCAGTTGCAGATGGTATTTTTACCCCACTATAGACAAGGAACTTGGGGTTGTGTGTGGTAAATTCTCCCAACTGGCAAGGAATGAGACAAGGTTAGAATCTAGTCAATCAGACACCAGAGTTTGAGTTCTTAGCCAGTATATTAGTTTGCCTACCATTTTCCTCCATAATTCAGGTCCGTTTAAAAACGGGCCTTTATACTACCGATCAAAAATACTATAGAAACAACTTCACAAATGGTGGGAAATTAGGGTGCATACTTTGGAATGTGTAGCTCTGATGTTAATTTATTTTTTGCTAGTCCTGGGGCTTTAACTCAGGGTCTGGGCACTGTCTCTGAGCTTCTTTTGCTCAAGGCTAGCACTCTATCACTTGAACCACAGAGCCACTTCTAGCTTTTTCTGTGTAGTGGTTCTGAGGAATTGAACCCAGGACTTCATGCATGCAAGGCAAGCACTCTACCACTAAGCCACATTCCCAGCCCTCTGGTGTTATTTTTTTAAACAAACACGCACATGAGGTTGTAATGATATGTATAAACATGTATATAATTGATAAGAGCACACATGAGAGAAATGAAGCTAGTTAGGTAGATGGACACTTGGAGGTTAGAAATTTGGATGCTTTTATTCACTATTTGGTATGATTTTGGATGTTATTTTTTTTGTTGGTCATGGGGCTTGAACTCTGGGCTTAAGTGTTGTTCCTGAGCTATTCAGCTCAAAGCTAGCACTCTACCACTTGAGCCATAGCACCACTTCTGGTGGTTAATTGGAGATAAAAGTCTCAAGGACTTTCCTGCCCAGGCTGGTGATCCTCAGATCTCAGCCTCCTGAGTAGCTAGGATTATAGGCATGAGCCACCGGCACCCAGTTTTATCATTGTTTTTAATGGAGGGGAAAATTCTCAAACATGTGAGACTGAGACCATCTAAATGCCTTCCAAACATATTTTATAGCAGAAATAAGAGAATAAGCTTGCATGCCGGCTTTTGTTCATACACAGCTACTCGTGGGAGTTCCAGTTTACAGAGAAGAGAAAACATGCGAAACAGCCAGGATCCAGCCGTCAGACGTCATTACCTGTTCCAACTCGTAGGCCTTGGCTTTGTCCTCATCACGGTCAGCATTCTTGCGGTAGGCCATTCCTAGACCCCATACAGCCAGGATACTGTAAATGTTGTCTCGCACCCAGGCATCCTTTTGGTCATGGCTGGCTGATAACAGCCCTGTGATGGGATTCTGGTAGGAATGAGACAAAATGGAATGGCATTGGCCTTCACAAAGCTTCTGGGCAACAGATGCTTATCTAAAACATCAGACTAGGACAGGAGCTGAGAGACCAGTTTCTCTCCTTGTTTTTCCGCCACTAACAGTGTGACTTTGGGTGGGAAACCACATCACGTCTTTGTACCTCAACTTCTTCATCTGTATAACTAGGAGATGAGACTAGAAAAGGAATCTTCTAACTCCTAGGTTATTCTTTTTCACTTTCCAACCAAAGCACACAGTTGTGAACAAAACAGAAATAGCAAACAGAAAACACCTGCAAAGCTCTACAAGTGTGCATATTGCAGGCAGCAGGTCTTTTCTAGCCAGCATGTTTTCATATTGGTTGCTAATCTCTGGCGTAAGAGAAATGGATTAAGGGCCATTAGTCTATTCTTCAGCTCTGTGTGCCTAGGGAAGCCATCTTGCCTATCTGGACCTTGGTCTCATCTGCAATTCAAGTCTTTCATATATCTGAACAGCCAGTACTACACAGGGGGCCATTTGGAAGTCGTATTTCATGAGATATCTCTGGGATTTATTGATTGATTGATTGATTGATTGTTGGTCATGGGGCCTGAACTCTGGGCCTGGGCGCTGTCCCTCAGCTCTTTAGCTCAAGGCTAGCGCTCTACCACTTGAGCCACAGCACCACTTCCGGCTTTTTTTCTTTTTGCTTATATGGTGCTGAGGAATCGAACCCAGGGCCTCAGGCATGCAAGGCAAGCGCTCTACTACTGAGCCACCTTCCCAGCCCCATGAGATTCTTTATCTCCAAGAAACTACCAAAACTCTGGAAGCAGAGTTGTGGCTCAAGTGGTAGAGTGCTAACCTTGAACAAAAAGCTCAGGGACAGCGCCCTTAATAGCGCCCTGAGTTCAAGTCCCAGGACAGACAGACAGACAGACAGACACACACACACACACACATACACACACCCTGACCACAGGCTGGCAAATATCATGCCTGGGCTCTTCTTTCAGTTCTAATAAAGATGACCCAGGAGTTTTGTCGGTGTGCTCTTCCCCTGACTGGAGTCAGACTATCTGCATTGCCTGTACTAACCCTGAGGGCTCCATCTCTTTAGAGACCTAGGGCCTTTGGTGGAGAATGGAAGGGGGAACAAAATCCTGCATATCTGATGTCATTCTGCAAGGCAAGCGCTCTACCACTGAGCCACCTTCTCAGCCCCTCTGATGTCATTCTGTACACTAAACAGGAGCACAGACAAGCAGACCAAAGGGAAAAAGTGGGTAGAATTTTTCAGGCCAAGACTACGGTTTCAGATATAACCATTGTAACCATTTACTGTTTCTCAATCTTAAAAAAAAAAAATGAATGAAAGCTAGGTGGCTTGTGCCTGTCATCCTAGCTACTCAGGAAGCTGAGATCTGAGGATCATGGTTCAAAGCCAGCCTGAGCAGAAAAGCCTGTGAGACTCTTATCTTCAATCAACCACCAGAAAACCAGAAGTGGCGCTGTGGCTCAAGTGGTAGAGCACTCGCCTTGAGCTGAAGAGCTGAGGGACAGACAGAGCCCAGGCCCAGAGTTCAAACCCCATGACCAACAACAAGAGAGAAAGAGCGAGAGAGAGCGAGAGAGAACTGGGTTTCTAAAGTTAATACTTTATTTCACCATCTTCCATAGACGTGCAGATAGGTGTTTATGGGGCATCTTTCAATATCAGTTGGTACAATCTCTGAACTGTATCTGATTCAATTTTTCTAAAATGTTTGTTATTATAAACATGATGTATAGATGAGTTGCAGTTACGTAAGTCAGATAAAGGATACATTTCTTTTTGGACAATGTTACCCCCTTCCCTTGTTCTCTCCCAGTTTTCCCCTTCCATTCCCACCCACAAGTTCATTTTCAAAATAGAGTCCAATGAGTACCACTGCTCCATTTACTCACCCTTTGTCCCTCCACTGATTTTAAATAGACTGAAACCACATAGTGTGGCAAGATATATATAAAAGGTGACCCTACTCAGGAAGCTGAGGTCTGAGGATCATGGTTCAAAGCCAGCCCAGGCAAGAAACTCTGTGAGACTCTTATCTCCAATAAACCACTAGAAAACCAGAAGTGGTGCTGTGGCTCAAGTGGTAGAGTGCATGCCTTGAGCTGAAGAGCTGAGGAACAGCGCCCAGGCCCAGAGTTCAAGCCCCATGACCGACCAAAAAAAAAAGGCGACCGTACTGAAGAGTACCCAGAGAAGATGACAAGACTACAATAGTGAAGAGCAGTGGTCTGGGGCATGGTGAGTACAGGGTAGGCTTAGATGAGGAGGTATGCAATTCTGTACTTACAGTTAAGTTCCCCTAGCAAATGTGTGCCTGAAATATTCTAGTTAGCTAGAGAAAAAGAAGGCAAATATAAGGGCTTCTTACTACCTACCCCCAAAATAAATACAACAAAAGGCTCAGACAACTTTTTTTAATCATTAAAATGTTGGGGAGGAAAGTCCACCTTGCAGATTTGCTTCAATGAGAGGACAGTTCTTTTGCTCCTAATAGAAGGTAAGCCTGAACCAAGATCATTAGAATGTTCCAGGAACTGCAGAAAGATTTTGTGTGTGTGTGTGTGTGTGTTTTAAATTTTGTTTTTCAGACCGGATCTCAGATCTAGCCCAGGCTGGTTGTGAATTTACTATCTTGCTGCCTCTGCTCCCCAACTACTGAGACTCCAGGTGTGTGCCACCGTGCCTGGCTTGTTCAGGAAGTATTTTATCAACAAGGATTAACGGATATCTTTCATGTGCCTAGAACACTGCTTGACACTGCTTGATGCAAAGGAAGGAAATTGATGAGGTCCCTGTACTCAAGATCTCACTGCATCAATGGGAAGATATAATAATGTTCAAAGGCCAGAGCTGGTGGCTCACACCAGTAATCCTAGCTACTCAGGAGGCTGAGATCTAAGGATCGTGGTTCAAAACCAACCTGGGCAGGAAAGTCCATGAGACTCTTATCTCCAATAAACCACTAGAAAGCCAGAAGTGGTGCTGTGGCTCAAGTAGGAGAGCGCTTGCCTTGAGCTGAAGAGCTGAGGGACAGTGCCTAGGCCCAGAGTTCAAGCCCCACGACCGACAAAAAAAAAAAAAAGAATAAAGGTCAAAGGCCTGAATGCATTAGCTGTATTGGGCCTTTCAGGAAAAGGAGTACATTGGGATAAAGTAGTCATAGGAGAACCACTAAATACTACCATGTGGCCTATATCAAAGTCACAATAATACGAAGAGCACCAAATATTTATTGATTGTCCATGAGGCAACATATTGGAGACTCAATGGAAGTATTTTTTATCCCCTTTCACAGATGAAGGCATGGACTCAGAAAAGATGAATAAAGGTTACATATGTTGTTTGAGGTAGAGTTGGGGATTCAAATCCACATATAACATAAGAAGCAAGCTTTACTAGTTCTCACAGCCCCTTCCACCATAGTAATGAGGAGAAAAGCTTTCAACATGGATTAAAAAAAACTTTATAAATGTAATTGTAAGACATTCCAAAGATTAAAAACAATCTCCTTTTATCTGCCTATTCTATATTCAGCTCTCAATTTGAATATCATTTCTTGAGGACCTTTCTACTCCACAAACTGGGTTAGGGATTCTTCCTTCCCCAAAGCTAACATAAAGGCTACAAACCCCAGTGTGCAATCTCAAAAATGAATAAGCTCTGGAAATATAAAATGTTTCCCTAAGTTTGTAGCAAGCTAGTTTGGTAGTAGATAACCTGAACTAATGTGAAAATAATTTTAGTGTTGATCTTTCTCAGTGTGAATAGTCACAATACTCATATTCTGATGTAAGGGTGCTGCCAAACTCTGATATAGTTATCATATATGTCATATATATACATATTATACATATATATATATAGCATATGCACATTAGTTCCTAAAATTCAGACATTTTTAACTTGTAAAGCACATCTGAACTGAAGAATTTCAGATTGGGGACTTGGGACCTATACATTATGCATAATTTCCACAGCATTATTATTTATTTATTATCTATTTTTTAGTACTGGGGGGTCCAGCCCAGTGAATTAAGAAAGTACTCTACCACTGAGTCACACATACTCCTACCATTTCTTTCCTGTAAGCACATCACTTTGTACAGTGCTGTGTATATAACAGGTATACAATGAATGTTTCTTGAATGAGGAACCAAAGGCTGGAAATTAGATAAGAAGGAAAAATGATCAGTGGCTTAAGAGAGTCACTATGGTTCCCCAACTTTCAGGCCTAGGCCTCTAACTACCAAATGCCACTTCCTTCTTTGACTTTGAAGGCCCTAAAAATAGTTACTGTTGAGTGAAGACAAGCAATATAGTAATAGCTATTGCTTGTCTTCACTAGGAATAAAAATAGTTCAGTGGTCTTACACTAAGGACCCATATATAACTTTAGTCCAAGAATACAAAGCACAGCAGGCATATTTATACTTCAGATCATCAGAGCAGTTTCATAGGATCCCTGGAACTTGGGAGAAGATTTGTCTTTAGATTTGACCAGGTTACTACATTACTACATTCAGTGCCTTTCTGGCCCAGTAGTTTCTTTTCTTTTCTTTTTTTTCCTCTTCTTTTCTCTGTGCTGGGGAACTATTCAAGATCTCATCCATGCTAGCCAAGTGCTCTGCCACTAGTAATTTTCTTGTCCAAAAAGCAGCAACTTGAGTAGGCTCCAAGGCCCTCCCATGTGGATCATCAACAAGGTGACTTATGGGAGGGACGGCAGCAGTTGCCCACACTCCGGTCTATTCAGAGTTCACCATCCTCATTCAGTGTACTCTTTCAACCTACACAAACCTCCTCTCTCACCCAAAAGGGGCAGTAAACACGGAAAGACCTTTGTGTCCAGAACACACGGTGGGGGTGGGGGTCATTTTATTTTCCATCATAAACAAGACTCGAAGAATTCTGTGAAGTGCAGCCTCAGGCCCTGCTTAGTCTCTGATTGGAGAGATTAAAGAATGAAGTGATAATCACTAGGTAGCAAGGACTAGGAGACCTCTTAACTGCAAGCATGTCAAGTCACAAGAGGGGACCGAGGCCTGGGAGGAGTGAGTGACACAAGAGGTAGCTCCAGGCGTTGCGGATAGAGGAAGGGGTGGGGGATGGTGTGGAGGGAAGTGCTCCTTACCTGGTAACACAGGATGGTTTGCTGCACCAGCCTTGCGTACCCGTCCAATCGGACCCCAGAATTGCTCCTGCTCCTCATCTCCTAGACACTCAGGGGCTGCAGCGTCCTTGATCCCAGCTTCACACAGTTCTCAGCATGGGGATGGGCGTGGCGGGAGGAGGTCCTGGGCTTTTCGAAATGCTAGAACCCAAGTACAGACTGCAAAACAAGCCAACCAGACCTTCGCAGGGCGGGGCGGCGCATGGGGGCGGGCGCTCCGGCGGCCCCGCCTTCGCCAGGCCCACCACCCAGGGTCTTGGATTCGGCGGCCGCGTGGCTCTGACGGGAACTGGGTCCTAACCAAGAGCCGCAGCGGTCAGGTCCGCAGGCGGTGGCGAGGCGGCCCTGGGGCAGGGGAAATGGGCCGCGAGCTCCCCTAGGCGACAGGCCCGCCTCCGCCCTCGGCCCCGCCTCCGCCCTCAACTCCACGGCGGGACGAAGCTCTCGGGCTGGCGGCTGGAGAGGGGGACGGGCCGAGTGCCGCGGACAGCCCGGCCCTGGGCGGGAGCCAGGCGGGGACTTTCGGTCCCCGGGCGCCGCCGCCCCATCCCGGCCCCTGCCCCTGGGAACGGAACTCCCCGTCGCGCGGCCCGAGGGGGAAGAGGGGGACCTGGCCGTGGGCGGGAGGCAAGTGGCCCCTTCAGCCCCGGCCTTCAGGCGGCCGCCAGTCCCAGGCGAGGCCGGAGAAGCGGACTCTCAGGTCTGTTCCTGCCTTCCGCTCCCCTCACCCCGGGCGGCATGGGAGTCTCTAGCTCGTGGCCTGAGGGGGAAGAAAACGGGAACAGCCCGCGGGTGGAGCCGAGAACCGGGCGCTGGGCCCGAGCCACTGGGCGTCCTCGAGCCCCTCCCGCCCAGGCCAGCCCGACTAGCAGGATTGGGCCTCCACCTCCGGCGTTTCCTGAGCCCGCCTCCCCGCTCCGCTTCCCCCGCCCCGCGGCTGCCTGGGGAAGAGCCGCGGCCCCGCCCCCGGCCCCGCCTCCACCCGGAGCGGAATCCTCAGAGGAGGCGGCCTAGGTGGGTTGGGAATAGGGCGGCAAGCAGGAGAATCCACCTCCAGTCAGTGGACCATTGGCTTCGAAGAGCTGTAGTGGAATGGGCCCAGCGGCTGGCTAGCTGCTTAAATCACCCTTGGCTAAAGAGAGGTGTGTCCATTATGGAGCTGTGGCTGGGGACCGCACCTCTCCCTACACTGTGACGCTGGCCCAGCTGCCAGCATGGAATGTGAGTAGTGGAGCACAGCCTAGAAGGCAAAGGGGGAAATCAGGACAGGGTTCCCCAGCTGAGGTGCTTGTGCCCAAAGCCCCTGTCCTAGCCATCAGCTCCCTGGGCTCTGCTTGCTATTCATCTGCAGGACTATAACTTGGAACTTGGTGATCATTACGTTCTTCTGGCTGCTAATTATCTACTCTCTACGGCTAGGCACAGTATTCTTTGTTTTCCAAAATCTAGCCCACATGTAAATTTACTGGACAATGATTCAAATGTAACAAACATTGTTTCCATCCAGTGTAGCTAAGGAAAGGGAAAACAAATGAGTCTTCTTTGTGAAGCTCACCAAATTTAAGGAACTTAACTGTAAATTTATTTCATTCATTTAAACATTTTTGTCCATTGTAACATAAATACAAGACAATTAAATAATTCGGAAAAGAAATATCGCAAAGACAAATCAGCACTCACAGAAACGTATACAATTACTACTGCCAGTCTGGGATACAAAATTCAATTGAAATATATACAAGGGAGCCTTAGTGAAAGACCAAACTAGAAGGTTTTTAAATGTTCCTAATACTTGAGGAATTGCTCAAGCAGGTGTAGGTGGGAAGCAGGATAGTCTCTATATTACTATGAACGTTTAGGGTTTGATACATATACAAAAGACAGCCTTGAAAGACAGTTCATTGTTCCCACCAATTGGCCCCCTTTGTCACTACATACTCAACATGTTTGAAAAAAAAAAAGTACAAACCTGGCTGGGCCAGAGTGTACCAGTCATAACAATCAGCAATGTACCATGCAGTTGCCTTATGTAACAGTAATATGATTTATTTCCCTTTATATAGTTCTTTAAAAATGTAAACCTACGCTATTCCCCTCTTCTAAAACACTCTGAAGATTTGAGAATTTGATATGGTCTAGATTAGAGTTTTATTCCTCTCTATGACCAAAGTTTTAGGTTAAACATCTTTTTCCATACTCTGATCATGGTGATTGGTATTTGATTCATGTATCTTTGCACAGGTTGTACTCTGCATAAGGATACACCCACAAGGGTGACTGAGCTAAAATATGGCTCACATGCTGTTTGCCAAACCTGAGCCCATGGTTTGTGTCTGCCCAGGGAGGGTACCTTTTTCTAACTTTCAAAGGCACTCTATGAGTTCATTGTGGCACTATCTGCTTACATTTGGCTAGCATGGCTGTCTCATTCTTTTTCTTGATTCCAGTGAAGTTTTCCTATTTCACATCCCATATAATTTCCAAAAGGAGTTTTAAGAAGTCACTGAGCCAGTTAGGGTTATCACATTAGACAAGACAACACGACTGTGATTCTATAAAAAGCATAAATTCACACAGTAGAAAATAAATACAAAAAAGATAGAAGTAAGATTTTGAACATGTGGGTCACTCACTAGAAATTAGGTTATATACAAGTGAAGCATGCACAGCTAAACTCACCAACAGGCTGAAGTCAGCAGTTGTTTTCCCAGATGTAATCAAGGGTAATTTAACCTCTAAAATGTGGCTGCAAATTAACTACTTTTAAAACACAGGGCTTATTGTGATGTTTAAAATCAATCTTCTTTCAAATGAAGGATAAGAGACAAAAATCACAACTGTGATAATGTCTTGATTTCCTCTTTCACAAGTAACCATTGCCTTCAATTAGCTTATGTTCCTCCGAGGTTGCTAAGTATAAAACAAGATGATTTTCATACATCTCACATTGTGTAAAAGGTAAGATTGGACATTTCACACTACGAAGCATCATGCTTTGATTTTAGGGGGGAAAAGGCATCACATTTGTTCAATAAAATGTAAGCTTCCCCGCTTTGAAGTCCTTCTAAGAGCCATGCGGCTTTTACCATTGCAGGAATCTTCTTTCTCACTATACACGTGCTGTTTTCCAGTTAGATCATGAAGGCACACATCTCCATTTTGAACACTGAAAGAAACCCCATTTCTCTCCGTAGAAGCATTACCTGTGTAAGGAAAACCGAAGCTGGTGTCATAAAAGATCCACGAGAAAAAGCATTAAAAAAAAGCAGGCATAAACTAATTTAAATATATGTACATGTGAAACATGTCATGATATGTATTTCTTGTTTACTTTTCATTTCTTTCCTAAGGCTACTCAAAATAAGCACAAATTGGAAAGACAAGTTTCCTGTGGTAGGCATTTCTTTTTTAAATGAAATGGTCAAAACCTGAAGCAAAGCAAAAAATTATTATATTTCAAAGGCCCATTCCCTAACATTGATTGAACATTGAGTGATGTATTAAAAATTATGATAATAGTTTGTTCATTCCAAAAAGTTAACAGAGATACTCTTATGTACCTTTTTTTGCCAGTCCTGAGGCTAGAATGCAGGGCCTGGACTCTGTCCCTAAGCCTTTCTGTGCTCAAGGCTAGCACTCTACCACTTGAGACACAGCGCCACTTCCCGCTTTTTCTGTGTGTGTGGTATTGAGGAATTGAACCCAGGGCTTCATGCATACTAGGTAAGCACTCTACCACTAAGCCACATTCCCATCCCCTATAATGTACGTTTAAAAGGTCCTGAATTCTTAAATTTCTATAAAATGAAACTTTGTACTAGTATAATAACCCAGAGCAAGAAGAAATCACTTCTCTCCACTATTTCTTTCCTTTTCCTTTTCCTTTTTTTTTGTGCTGGTACATGAGCTTGAACTCAGTGCCTCATGCTCTCACTCAGCCCTTCCTCCTCAAGGCTGGTGCTCTACCATTTGAGCCGCATCTCCACTTCTGGCTTTTTGCTGGTTAATTTGAGCTAAAAGTCTCAGATTTGTTGACCCAGGCTTGCTTCAAATTTTGATCCTCAGATCTCAGCCTTCTTGGTAACCTCCTTAATAGCTAGGATTATAGGGGCAAGCCAACAGTACCTGGCTCTCTCTAACCATTTCTAAATCATCATCCTAACTCCAAGCAAGACTGGCTCTCAGGAGGAAACCATGGGTTCTAACCTAAGAGTCCAGCCAGGAAATAGTTGTATGTTCAGTGGTTTGGACTAAGGCTTCTCCCTACTTAGAGCAGGCACTGGATTGCAGAGGACACGGCTACTGAGATCTTCTAGCTTCTGGGCACCACTCTTCTGATCACTGTCCCATCAGGAGCCAAATAATAAGCCCATGGGTTAGTTGCTGACATAATTTTAGTAATGATCATAGGACTGAACAGTCAGCAAATATGATAGTATTTATAATGCGAAGGGACGAGCACTGTTACTATTCCCATTTCACAGATGATGAAACCAAGGTTGCAGGAATAATGTGTTCAATCGAAGATTTCGTGGGTGAGAAGGGATGGAGTCAATAGATATGGATGTTGCTTTGAAACTGTGAACTTGTGGCCCCATGTCAAATGGCCTGGCTTTAAGACAGCTTAAAACTGAAAGGTGTCCTATTCAAGTACAAGTGGTGTTAGATAGGGTTAACAGTCCCATCTGTGACACATTCCAAACAGGGCATATCACTGCGTGAGACAGTTGCTCTGACTTAGGCACTTGATCTGAGGACATTTTGATGTAGGAACAATTCGGCCCTGTATAATAAACCATTCAGCTGCCATTCTTCATCCATTCCAGATCCTAATGTGAGGACTGACAAGTACTGGGGATGTTTTTCTGACAGGCACATTACCCCATCTGAAACACTTAAACCATTCTGGTAGCCTTAAAAAGCAACCCCACTGTTACTGCCAGGCATTAAAAAAATAGGTATGCTAGAATATCTGTGTCAAAATGTACTGCTTTGTTCAAATCTGCTCCGAAAGAATGACAATATACTGATTGGTTTTAGGATTCATCTCTGAGCCATTTTTACAATATGGAAAAATCTAACTATGGATTAAGAACCTCAAAA